GAACAGGTGGATCTACTGAAATACACTGAGGGGAGCAGTGGGTGCAACAGGAGAGGTCTGCTATGCCATGTGGGTCAGCTCCCTGGCCAGGGATTGAACTCTCGCAGCAGTGGCTGGGAGTGGCAATAGCTTGATAGTGCTGAGACTTTAATCCCTGCACCACCAGGAAGGCTCATGTGGTAATTTTTTATGACATCCCCAGGAAACCAATATAACCACTTTAAAAAAATGACACTCACTTCTTAAATAGTCTAGGAATCCTTGTCTTAGAGAATGTCTCAATCCTGAAACTGTTTTCAGACTGACCTTTTCTAAAAAAAGAAATATTTTTATTTATTTATGCATACAGGAACTGGGGTGCAGGCCAGAGGTATGGGGAGGGGAGTAGGGAGCAGAGGCAGATTGACTGAAATACACTGCTGAGGGGAGCAGCAGGCCAGACAGGGGAGGTCTGCTGCGCCATGAGGGTTTCTCCCGGGCTGAACTCATGCTGCAGTGGCTGGTGGCAGCATGGTAACGCCGACTTTAACCCCTGTGCCACTAGGGGAGGCCCCTGATGGACCTTTTAAATTTATAAATCAGATCACGCCATCCCTTGCGGAAACCCTCCACTGGTTTCCCATTGCATTTAAAATAAACTCTGAGCCCTTTATTCTGGTTTACAGGCCCTTATTTACGTGACTACTTCTCACTCCTCTAACCTCACTTTCCCCTCTGTCCTCACCCACCTCCATGCAGCACCCGCCCCCAACTCGCTCCAGTTCCTCAGACAGGCCAAGCTCACCCCTACTGGTTGGAAAGGTCAGGAAGGAAGAGACAGATGCAATTCTACCATTAGGGCAGGGCGGGGATGGTGGGCTGGCAGAAGGGGGGCGGGTGGCAGGAAGGTGAGAGGAGAGAGGACAGATTTCTCCCTCCTTCCCTGGCTTGTGGCTTCTGGGGTCTAAATTCCTGATACCGGTGCTGCGCTTCTATTTTATACACATAATTCTCATTGTAAAAAGGTCATCATAAAGCACCCTTCAAGTCCCAGGGGTTCCCTGGATCTCGAGTCTCAGGTCCAGAGAAGAGACGGCCAATCCGGCTTCTGAACAGAAGGTGGCAGCAACACATCTCTTTAGTTCCAGGTCCACGCCCAGGGAAAGATTTTTTTCAGGTGCCTCGGGGTTTCCTTCAGTTTAACTAACATTTATTTGACCTAAATTCTGGTTTAGACAAAAACACAAAGATGAGGAAGAACTGCTGGCTGCCCTCAAAGGGTGGGGGGAGTCAGACACGGAAACAGGTTACTCGTTTACCAGCTGTGTGACCTCGGGCAGGTTGCTCAACCTCTCCCTGCTTCCCTGTCTTCAGCTATAAAGTGGAAATAGTAACTGCACCTATGTCATAAGGTTATTGTGAGGCTTACAAGTGCGAACACATACAAAATGCTTAGCTCAGCGCTGGGCACATAGGAAATGTTAGCTGTGACTATGTGGTAAGTGAAAGGACTGATGGGATCGAAGATACCAGGATGCTCCCTAACGGGAGATAATGGGGGAAATTACCTGCAGCCAGACAGGGCTGGGAAAGCCCATCTTGAAGCGTGTGAAGCTGGCGGAGGCTCCTCTTGGCTCCTGCAGGCCCACGCCGGCTCGATTGCTCACCATGTCACCTCAGGTCCTCGCTCAGTGCCGGGAGAAGGGCACCGTGGGAACGAAGGGCCAGCGCTGATTCCACATCTGGGAACTCAGCCATTTCAGGCAGCAGACACGTGGAGCCGGGGGCATGAAGAGGAAGCTCCTTGGAAGGCAAAGGGCTCTTCAGGAGGACATTGCACTTGCCCCAGGCGTGGAGCAGAGGTTGAGCTAATCCCAGACCTTAAGCGGCAGGAAGACCCCGCTGGTGCTTAGTTGTAAGTACTTAGGGTTGTGCAATTGATCCTCTATGTCTCAGTTTGCTCTCCCTGTCGCCAGAGAGGGGAAGAAGGCTGCTGAGTACCTACTACGAGCCACACCTACTATAAGCCTCACAACATGCTAACGGCTTTACATATAATAATACCTCATTTCGACCTCACAACAGTCCTCAGAAGAAAGGAAACTGAGTCACAGAAGACAGGGCACTTGCCGCAGGTCACACGGCTTGTCAGTACCTAGGCTGGTGACCTGATCTGTTCTCCCGTGACCTTTCCCTCCAGTCCCCCTTAGCCTTGGCTGCCCCCTCCCTCACACTCGTCCTGGAAACCCACCATCCGTAAATATCCCAGCTCCAGAATCACAAATTCCTGCATCCTGCTCTCTGAAAGCAACTTCCCACCCCCTCAGTGCCTCTTTTACCTCCTTTCATACTCACTGTTCCCCCGCTCACCAGGGGTTCCAGCTGTGGCCCTCTTTCCTTCCCCAACTTCTCACCCTCTCTTACCCACACACCCCTGCTCATCCAGCTTTGAACCTGGGACCCACGATCCGCGGTCACACTTTGTCCTAAACTCCATGGCCCACCTTCCTTGCAAACCTCTACATGTATCCAAATGCCATTTCTCTCCCAGCCTTCGCCAGAGCAGCCAAGGGCGGAAGGAGGAGGAGGAGCAACACTAACACTGGCTGGGCCTTAAATGCTAGGACTTAAATAGCACCTGTTATGAGCCAGAACCAGTGCTTCAGATATTGTAACTCATTTAATCTTCCAACACTCTACTATTATTACCCCCATGAATGGGTAAAAACAATGGAGGTGACTAGAAATTAAATCACTCACCCAGACCAAAAGCACACAGCTAATTAAGTTGCTCAAACCCAGGATGTCTGTCCAGAGTCCATGTCTCAATCAGCATGCTATTGTCCAGAACCCCGGCCACATTTCCCTTCCTCCATCAGCCAGGCCCTCCACCCTGGGTCCACCCTGTCTTCAGCCACCACTGGGGTAATAGAAGCCAGACCAAACCACCCCAGGCCCAGCCCTAGGGGCCTCTTATTGAGCAGGGTCTGCCAGCAGTTCCCTATAAAGACAGAGTCTGAGGTGGGTCCACCCCAGGCCTTGCCTGCCCTCTCCAGGCAGTACCAGCTCAGACTCCCTGTTTGTTCCCAGAGGACAGCAGGCCAGGCCTAGGCTGGCATGGATGTGGCTCAGAGTCCGGGGCTGTGGCAGAAAACACCCCGTCCCTCCTCACACCTGCCAAACCCACTCTCCCAGCCAGGAAGCATCTACCCCTGTCCACCCCAGGAGTTACAGGGGCCCAGCCCTGGTTTATTCATCCCACCCCCTCTATTTCATCCTTCTTCTTTCTATCCCCCTGGCAACCAAACCAAACCCATCTAGGAGAAGGGCCTGGCAGCTGCGCAGGGAGAGACTAATGGTCCGGAAGGAAGGAGGGGCCTGGAGAGCAGAGGAAGGCTGTGGGGCTGGAGAGGACAGCATTGCCCATCTCAGAGGACACACAAAGGGAGGTGGTGCCTCTGCCCTGCAATGCCGAGGAACTAGCCGGCCAGGGAGCTGCCCTCACCCCTCAGCCAGAGATCCAGCGAGGGTGCCCTAACCTGCTTCTCCAGCTGTCCAGCTCTTGTACTCGGGGACAGTGCTCTATGGACCTGTCCCTACTGAGAGCCCTTGAGTGCCCCCCAGCCCCACCCCGGGCAGCAAGATCCATGGCTCCTGGCAAACCCAACAGGCCTCAGCACCCTGGCTCCTGCAGACCCTCTGAGTTGCTTCTGTCTGCGCTTGCATTCTGGAAGCCATCTGACGGCAAAGGCCAGACATCAGTCTTCTCACTAACTCCAAGGTGGGGGAGGGTGGAAAGGAGTGTGTGGTTGTGGGTGCATATAGGTTGCCGGTGCTATTCTGCATACGCACCTGCTCGTGTGCACAGGCTTCTGGGGCCCTCTCTCTCCTCTGTCATTCCTGGGCTGCTAGGGAAGGGTCCCTTCTCTTTGCTCATCTCTGTGCCCCTCTAGCCTTGCCCATTCTTGGATACCTGCAACTTCTCCATCTTGGAACAGATTCCAGCCAGTCTGTCAGACTCTCAGCCTTAGCAGCCCTGCCACCCTCAGCCCCCTCCCCTTCTTACCTCAGGACTTGCCCAGGTTCCCGGAAGGCCTGTGACTGAGCAGCAGTTGGTTGGGGGAAGGGAGAATCCAACAAAGCCAGACAGCATACAAGGAGCTCACTCCGCTCAGCCTCTGGTGGGGGCACAGACAGAGGCCCTGAGTGGAACCCAGAACTGAGCCGTCTGGGCTGTGCCGGCCCAGCTGGGGACTGGGGTGGGTCCAGGCTTGGGAGCTGTGTCTTTAAGGCAGACATCAGCAGGGTAGGCAATCCCCTGGCCAAGTGTCCAGGGGCGGGGGAGGGCCGTGGCCAGTGCATTAGCTGCAGAGCTGGCGCCAGGCAGCAGGCTTCAGAGGACCCTGGGGAATCACCATGAGATCGGCCTTTCTCCAGCCCCCTCAGTGGCCTCTGCCCACCTGTCCCCCATTTCTTCTTGGGTGCAGCGACAAAGGCGGTAACTGCCAGCAGGTAAAAGCAGAGCTTAGCCTTCAGGGGACAAGCCAAAGCACAGGCCTGGGGCCTAAGTCCTGGCAACTCGACCTCCACCTGGACCCCTCCTCCGTGGAGCCAGAAGCCTGCCCTTTCACCCCAGTCCTCCTAGTCCCCAAATTGTGCCACCTCCTTCAAGCAGGGCCTACCCCAGCTCAAGGTAGGCCCCCTCTAGGCACCCGCTCCGCCTGCTGGCTGGGGGGCGCTGACTCCCCAACCGCCCCCCGCCCGCCGTGGCTGCCACTCCTGCTTCCTTCCCAGCCAGCAACAGGGGGAACCGAGTGGGCAGGGCGCCAGCCGGGAGGGAGGGTGCGGAGCGCCCTCTTCTCCGCAGGGGTGTGGCATCCCCCTCCCCACATAGCCCGCAGTCAGGCCAGTGGGAGGAGCTGCCCGTGGCCCCCCTGAGCCCGCAGGGCCATAAAGCTGCCTCGCCGCGGCCCGAGGCTCCTTCCCAGCATCCGGACCTGCTCGGCCTGCGGCGACTCCCATCCTCGGCCGCCATGAGCCACCCGTCGGGCCTCCGGGCCAGCGTTTCTTCCACCTCGTACCGCCGCACCTTCGGGCCGCCGCCCTCTCTGTCCCCCGGGGCCTTCTCGTACTCGTCCGGCTCCCGCTTCTCCGGCGGCCGCCTGCTGGGCTCGGCGTCGCCCGGCTCCTCCGTGCGCCTGGGCAGCTTCCGCGGGCCCCGGGCGGGCGCGGGGTCTCTCCTGCGCCTGCCCTCGGAGCGCCTGGACTTCTCCATGGCCGAGGCTCTCAACCAGGAGTTCCTGGCCACGCGCAGCAACGAGAAGCAGGAGCTGCAGGAGCTCAACGACCGCTTCGCCAACTTCATCGAGAAGGTGCGCTTCCTGGAGCAGCAGAACGCGGCCCTGCGCGGGGAGCTGAGCCAGGCCCGGGGCCAGGAGCCGGCGCGCGCCGACCAGCTGTGCCAGCAGGAGCTGCGCGAGCTGCGGAGGGAGCTGGAGCTGCTGGGCCGCGAGCGCGACCGGGTGCAGGTGGAGCGCGACGGGCTGGCGGAGGACCTGGCGGCGCTCAAGCAGAGGTCAGGGGGCCGGCGGCGGCCGTCGGGGCGGCTGCTCCTCCCGCCCTTCCCCGCCCCCCCTCCAGCCGCCCGAGGGAGTGGCACCCCGGGCGCGCCCTGGCAGCATCCTCACCCTCGGCCTCGCGGCCCCCCTCCCCGCGGCGCTGCGCCCCTGGAGAGGTGAAGGGGGGGCTTCCACGCCTCCCCCGGGTGCAGACAGGCCTGGTCTCAGGGAGACAGAGAGAGAAATGACCAACCCGCCAGGCAGCCCGCAGACCCCCCTCAGAGTCCCCGCAGGAGCACCATCGTGGGGGGCGCCGTCTGAGGGCCGAGCGGCGACCTGGCAGCTCAGTCCCGGCCCCTTCTTCCCTCCAGGCTGGAGGAGGAGACGCGCAAGCGGGAGGAGGCAGAGCACAACCTCGTGTTCTTCCGCAAGGTGGGCGCGGGCCCCAAGGGGCACCCCGCCTCCGCCCCGCCCCACCCCCTGGCCTGCGCGTCCCGGGGGCATTTGTGGGCGCGGGGGGGGGGTGGGCGCCCAGAAATCTCCCGAGGTGGCGAGGAGGGCCTGGCCCCTCCTCGGCCTCAGCAGCCCCTCCCTGCCGTTCACCCCTGTGCCACCCCACGAAGGACGTGGACGACGCCACCCTGTCCCGCCTGGAGCTCGAGCGCAAGATCGAGTCTCTGATGGATGAGATTGAGTTCCTCAAGAAACTTCACGAGGAGGTGGGGGGCCGGGGGTCAGGGGAGGCTCCGGCGCCGGGGGGGCTCGCTGGAGCGGGGACACGAGGTCTGGAGGAGATGGCGGGTGGAACGTAGGATTCCTGGGGAAAGACGTGGGGTTTGCCAGAGACAGCCCCACAGCCCCCCTCTACAGGTGGGGTAACTCCCACCCCTGCGCCACCTGGCGGCGAGCCGCGGAGCTGCACCCCGGGAGCCGGACCGCGCGCGGGGGGCCAGCCCGGCCGGGACGCGGCCCGCGCGCCGCGCTCCATGGCGCCCCCGTCTGTTCACTCGGCCGTTTCTCTCCTTCTCTGCGCCGACCGCGCGGCGCGGGCGGGGTCCTCGCCGCCCACTCGACCTCCGCGGCCCGGGCCTCAGGAGCTGAGAGACCTGCAGGTGAGCGTGGAGAGCCAGCAGATGCAGCAGGTCGAGATGGAGGCGACCGTGAAGCCCGAGCTGACGGCGGCGCTGAGGGACATCCGCGCGCAGTACGAGAGCATCGCGGTGAAGAACCTCCAGGAGGCAGAGGAGTGGTACAAGTCCAAGGTTCGAGACCAGGGCGGCCCCGGGGGCGCCGGGAGGGACAGGGCCCTGGGGGCTGGGGGGCCCTGGGGCTGGGGGGGCGCGCGGGCTCTTCACACCGGCGCTGCCCGCCCCGCAGTACGCGGACCTGTCGGACGCCGCCAACCGGAACCACGAGGCCCTGCGCCAGGCCAAGCAGGAGATGAACGAGTCCCGACGCCAGATCCAGAGCCTGACGTGCGAGGTGGACGGGCTTCGCGGCACGGTGAGTGCCAGGCTGCGTGCCCGCCCCTGGAGGGCGGGCAGCCAAGCTGTGCCCCCCTGACCTCTTACCACCCCCCAGAACGAAGCTCTGCTCAGGCAGCTGCGGGAGCTGGAGGAGCAGTTTGCCCTGGAGGCCGGCGGGTACCAGGCGGGCGCCGCGAGGCTGGAAGAGGAGCTCCGTCAGCTGAAGGAGGAGATGGCCAGGCACCTCCGCGAGTACCAGGAGCTCCTCAACGTCAAGATGGCCCTGGACATAGAGATCGCCACCTACCGGAAGCTGCTGGAAGGCGAGGAGAGCCGGTGAGGGGCAGGGCTGGACAGTGGGGGGACTGGGGGTGGGTGTGCAGGGAAGGCCTGGGGCCTGGGCAGGGTAGCTGATCACTTGCTCCGCCCCCAGGATCTCCGTGCCAGTCCATTCCTTTTCATCTTTGAGTATAAAGAGGACTGGTGAGTCTCCCACTCCTGGTTCCCACCCTGTGGCTCCCCTTGTGCACTCTGCCCTGATCAGCCTCTTCCCAGGGCTCTGCGGAGAGGCTGGCGGTGTCAGGGATCTGCAAGCGCTGGTCTGCGCTCTCCTCTGCTCCTCACACCCTCCTCCTGCCCTCCCCTCGCAGAAGTGAGGGAGGGTATGAAAGAGAGAAATTCCAAACCTCCTCCCTTCTACCCCTCCTCCTGCCTTTTCCAGTGCCTGAGATGGAGCCTCCCCATGACAGCAACAGCAGGAAGATGGTTCTGATCAGGACCATCGAGACCCGGGATGGGGAGGTGAGATGGGCCACTTGACCCCAGAGCCCCATCATTCCCCATGTTGTTTCTGAGCCACACCCTGCAGCTGATCCTAGGGCTTTGTGGGTTGGTTGCTCTGGGGTAGGAGGGAGGCAGGGTGAGCGATCAAGGTGGGTGGATAGACTCAACCTCAGCTGATTATGTCAGGGAGGGGGCACATGCCCCAAAAAAGCTCAAAAGGAGGGTGGTGCTGAATGGGTTGTGCCCCCCATCCCACCCCCATGTCTTTTCCACAGCAAGTGGTCACTGAGTCCCAGAAGGAGCAGCACAGTGAACTGGACAAGTCTTCTACTCACAGCTACTGAACCCTTTGGTCCAGAGCTCCCAGATCCTGCCCTAGACCTTCTCTAAGCCCAAACCCTAATGCCAGGCCTTAGTTAGTCTCCTCTCCTTCTGCATGTGTCTAGGGGATGGCAACAGTCACCCATACTGTGGCTAGTGGCCAAGCCCTACCCAGTCAGCTGTAGCTGGCCCCTCCCTCCCCTAAATATAAACATGACCCATTTGTGCCCCTTTTCTTGTCCTGGTAAGAGGCTGGTGGTCCCCAGGGCAAGTACTCCTGCTGCGGACTACTTGGGGTGGGCTAGTGTCTGAGCTTCACTTTTGAATGAAATAAAACCACTGTCAAGAGAACTTTCTCCAGCGCATTTTGTCTGTGGAGGTGGGGGTGCTTGTGGGAAGAAAATTCAAGTTTCCCCCCTTGTCTCCAGTGATCTCTTTTCTGACTCCTGCCATCTCAGCTTCCATGATGCCTGTGTAGTTGTTTATGTTTTCTGACTCTCTATTCATTCCTCCTCAAATTCAATTCCCCATGAATGTCCAGTTGCCTGGTGGTGTCCCCTCAAACTCAGCATGTCCAAAACAGAGTTCCTTATCTCCCTCCCCACCATTGGTGGTCATGTTCTTCCTACTGGACCCCCTACCCTACAAGAGGGCACCACTAAGACCTTGTGCCCGAATTGGAACTCATCTTATACCCCTGTCTTATACCTGCTCCCATTTCTGTTCATTCTACTTCTTAACTTCCCTCTTAACCTCAGAGACCTCAGGGTGTTTTTTGATGCCCACTGATTTTTGAAGGTATTTTATGCTACCTAATTGTCTGCTATGTAAATGTCTGGTATTTGTTTTTATCATTCTGACTTATTTTGCTGCATATAACTCTCTCAAATTTGCTCCATTTTGTTGAAAATAACTGCATCTCATTCTTCATTGTGGTTATATAATACTCCATGGTGTGCATAGACCACAACTTCTTGATACAATCAGTGGTCAAAAGACATTCAGGCTGCTTCCATGCCCTAGTTATCATAAATAATAATGCTGTAAACATTGTGGGATAGATGGGGTTTTTTGTACATGGTTTCATGTTCCATGGATATATGCCCAAGAGTGGGATTGCTGGGTGGTATGGTATTTCCATTTAAAAAAAATTTTAAGGTAAATCCAGATTGTTTTCCGCAATGGTGGCACCAGTTTACATTCTTACCAACAAAGTGATAAGGTTCCTTTTCCTCCACATTCTCTCCAACACTTTTTGCTTGTTGGGTTTTTTTTTTTAAGCTTTATTAATTTATGCATACGCGAACTGGGATACAGGTCAGAGGTGTGGGGGGGTGAGAGGATTCACCAGAGACAGAGTGGGGAGCAGAACAGGCAGATTGACTGAAATACACTGCTGAGGGGAGCAGTGGGCAGGTCAGGAGAGGTCTGCTGCTCCGTGTGGGTAGCCCCCGGCCAAGGATTGAACTCGTGCTGTGGTGGCTGCAGATAGCTTCACAGGTTGCATCTTAACCCCTTGGGCCACCAGGGAGGCCCTGGGGGTCTTTTTAATATATGCTGTTTTCATGGGTGAGATGGTAGTTTATTGTAACTTCACCCCGCTTCTCTCTTATTAGAACTGAAGATGATATGTGTTTTGGCCTTCAGAATATCCTCTTTGGTGATTTGTCTGTTCATATCTGCTTCCCATTTATTAATTGGAATATATTTTAGAATTGTTGAATTGTGCAAGTTTTTATTTATCTTGGAGATTAATCCCTTATTAGTTATATATTGTGTAAATATTTCCTTTTATTCGATAAGTTATTTATTTGATTGTCTTCTATTTTTTTTTCACTGTGTAGAAGTTTTTTAACTTGAGGTAATCCCAATTGCTTATTTTTGTTTTTAATTCCCTTGTAGTAGGAATAGAATCACCAAAAATATCTTTAATGTTGATGTGGAATGTGTTGCCAGTGTTTTCTTCTATGTATTTCATTGTCTTAAGTCTAAATATTTAATCATTTGGAGTTTACTTTTGTGCGTGGAGTCAGCAACCCAACTTCATTTATGTATGAATTTCCAATTTTCCCAGCACCATTTATTTATTTTTTTAAGGTTTATTTATTTATGCATACAAGAACTGGAATACAGGCCAGAGGTGTGGATGGTGAGAGGACTCACCAGAGACAGAGCAGGAAGCAGAACAGGCAGATGGACGAAAATACACTGCCGAGGGGAGCATCAGGCGAGTCAGGAGAGGTCTGCTGCACCATGTAGGATGCGCTCTGGCCAGCCAGCAGATTGAACCCGAACTCTGTGCTGCAGAGCCTGTGGACCGCCTCATAGTGCGGTGCTAACCCCTTGCACTACCAGGGAGGCCCAGCACCATTTATTACAGGGACCATCTTCTCCCCATATTATGGTCATCACTGCTTTATCATAGATTAGATGGTGATATGTACATGGATTTATTTATGGGCTCTTGATTCTATTCCATTGATTCGCATACCTATTTTTGTGCCAATGCCATACTGTTTTTAATACTGTGCTTTATTGTAAGTTTGAAATCAGGTAATGTGATACCTTTGTTTCTCTCCTTTTCCCTTCAATGTTGTTTTAGCAATTTGAGACCTTTAGTGGTTCCACATAATTGTCAATATTTTTTGTTCAGTTTCTTTGAAAAATATTGCTAGTATTTTGATGGGGATTGCATTAAATGTACATATTGCTTTAGGCAGTATAGTCATTTTGGTTAGATTGATTCTCCCCATCCATGAAGCATGGAATACCCTTCCATCTCCTCATGTCATTATGTAAGTCCTCTAGTAACAACATCTATAGTTCTTATCGTATAGGTATTTTACCTCCTTTATCAGGTTGATTCTGAGGTATTTAATTCTTTTTGAAGCAATTATAAATGGAATTATTTTCTTAATTTCTTTTGCTTCTTGCTAACTCCAGGGTCATTAGTAGAGGCTGAAAGATGCTTTTACTCACAGCCTGGGGTCCTCGTGGCTGCTTCACAGACTAGGGTAAGGCTGTTCTGATGTTAAACCCAGGCAGGTGGCTTTGCTCTCTTGCCTGCTAGATGAGGGAGGGGATCCCAGAACATACAGTGTTTTCTTTTTTTCAATTTTTTAAAAGATTTATTTGTGCATAAAAGAACTGGCCAGAGGTGTGGGGGTAGAGTGGTGAGAGGATTCACCAGAGACAGAGTGGGGAGCAGAACAGGTGGATCTACTGAAATACACTGCTGAGGGGAGCAGTGGGTGAGACAGGAGAGGTCTGCTGCACCATGTGGGTCACCTCCCTGACTGGGGATCGTACTCGTGCTGCAGTGGCTGCGGAGAGTTTCATAGTGCTGAGACTTAACCCCTTGTACCACCTGGGAGGCCCCACAGTATTTTCATACAGGTTACAGTTCAGTGGAAAAGCCAGATCACACAAGTAAGCCAACAATTAAATATTTAATTGGAAAATTGGAAGTGAAATAAGGAAAAGAAGAAAACACTGTGAGACTAATAGTACAGGAAGTAACAGAGATCTTTCTGAAGAAGTGAGAGGGAAAGTAAAATCTTCTTAATAGTAAAAAATAAATGTAGCTAGCATTTCTTGAGTGCTGACTAGCTACTGGGCCCTAAATTAATTGAAGAATTTATTCACTGGGGCCTCCCTGGTGGCACAGGGGTAAAAGTCTCAGTGCTATCAAGCTATCACCAGCCACAGTGGCCTGAGTTCTGTCCCTGGCCAGGGAGCTACCCACATGGTGCAGCAGATCTCTCCGGTCTCACCTGCTGCTCCCCTCAGCAGTGTATTTCAGTCAATCTGCCTGTTCTGTTCCCCATTCTGTCTCCAGCGAATCCTCTCACCCCCTGCACCTCTGGCCTACACCCCATTCTTGTATGTATAAATAAATAAAAATAAATCTTTAAAAAATAAAAGAATTTGGGCCTCCCCGGTGGCATAGCGGTTGAGTGCTGGGTTGCAAAGCTGCCCGCAGCCTCTGCAGCGCGGGTTTGATCCCCGGCTGCTCCCGGCCACCTGTTGGAGGGTCCCACATGGCGCGCAGGCCTCTCCTGTCGCCCGCTGCTCCCCTCAGCAGTGTACTTCGGTCCTTCTGCCTGTTCTGCTCCCCGCTCTGGCTCAGGTGAATTCTCTCACCCTCCGCGCTTATGACTGTACCCAGTGCTTGTATAAATAAATAAATAAATCTTCAAAAAAAATAAATATAAATAAAAGAATTTATTCACTGGATCCTCAGAGCAAATTCTGAGATGTATGTAATTATTATGTGTATAATTATATAATAATTATATCCCCACTTTATAGATGAGAAAGTTTATAGGGGAAGCAACTTGTTCAAGGTTATATGGTTAGTAAGGAGGAGATGGTGTTCTAACCTAAGTGGCCTGACTTTGGAGGCTGGACTCGTTGCTGAAGTTGAGGAGTTGAGGAGTCAGTTGAGGAGTCAGTCCTCTTGGGGGAAGAACTAAAAGTCCAGAAAGATCTTGCAGTCTTGGAGGAACTGAAGGAAGACTAGTGGTGGCAGATGCTGTATCCTTTTTTTATAAACTTGGAAAAATGGAGAGACTTGACTAAGGTTTGAGGGCTAGATAGTAGGAATGTATCACTGTTCTTTTCCTGATGTTGATGGCTGCGTTGTGTTTTGTTGTGTTATGCTTTGTTAGCATGAAATACACACTAAGGTATTTGGGGAGAGATTTGGCAACTTACATGTAAATGGTTGAGAAAAAAAGTTCTTTGTACTAGTATGCAAAATTTCTGTGAGTTTGAGATTATTTACAAAAACATGGTAAAAGTCGGGGGGAGTTACTCTTTGTTTTTTTACAAAAAGATTTTATTTATTTATGTGTAGAAGAACTGGGATATAGGCCAGAGATGTGGGGTGGGGGTGATGGTGGTGAGAGGATTCACCAGAGACAGAGTGGCAGACCTACTGAATACACTGCTAAGGGGAGCAGCAAGCTAAACAGAAGAGGTCTGCTGGCCCATGTGGGTAAGCTCCCTGGCCAGGGATTGAACTCAGGCCCGTTGGGGTAGACCTTTGCTGTGGTAGCACTGAGCCTTAATCCCTGGCCACCAGGGAGGCCCAGGATTTACTCTTTGGAGAAATTTTCAGTGCTTTTCCACAAGTGAAGGTTGCCCCTGACACTACTACTGTTTAATATAATATTGGAAATTCTATACACTGAAAACCAAACCAAACCAAACAAAATATGAATAATAAAAAACCAATAAGTATAAAAACTGAAAAGGAATATGTAAAACTGTTTTTATTTGCAAAAAAAAAATAATTATCTCTATAGAAAACCCAACAGAATCAATAGGCAAGCTAGGAAAACCAAGAGTTCATTAAGGTTGCCAGATAGAAAATCAATCATATTCCTCAAAGACCAAAGGGTAATATTTGCAATGTCTAAAGTGGAAATGGAATTAATATGCAGCAAGATCTTATAAATCAACAAGAATAGAGAGGAACACTAATAGGAAAAAATGCACAAAGAATGTGAGTAGGCATTTCAGAGAGCAGGAAGATCTATTGGGTAAAAAGAATATAAAGTGCCACTCAAAACAACTGGTAATCAGAGAAATGCAATTTAATATTATCAGGAGTACACTTAAAATAAAATTATAAAAAATTAGAAAGTGGTATAATATCAGTGTTGGAGAGGATAGATATAAGAACTTTTAACTAATATTACTGAGAGTATAAATAGCTACAAACCTTCTGAAAAAATATTTTGATGATATTTAGTAAAGTATGCATGTCTCCTGACCCAGAAAGTCCACTCCTGGATATATATAGTGGAAAAGTTCTTCAACAAGTTCACAGGGGACCATGTAAGAAGATAATTCTCTAGCATTGTTTGTAGAAGTGGAAAATAAATAGTATGATGGATACCTACAATGGAATCCTATGCAACTATTGTAAGATAAAAACTTTATTATATGTAGCAATTAGATGGATCCTAGAAGCAGAGTTGACTGGAAGAAACTAAAAACAGAATCATATGGCGATGACATTCAAGCAAATTAAAACATACAAACATCCTGTAGGAGGCTGAAAAATCTTCCTCCCCACATAGATGTCCATATCTTAATTTCCTGAGCCTCTGAATTTACCTTATATGGCAAAAAGAACTTTGCAGATTTTGTTTTTCTCGTAAATATTTATTTATTTTTATTTTATGCATAGAAGAACTGGGGTAAGGCCAGAGGTGAGGGTGTGTGAGAGAGGACTCACCAGAGACAGAGTGGGGAGCAAAACAAGTAGATCTACTGAAATACACTGTAGAGGGGAGCAGAGGGCGAGTCAAGAGAGGTCTGCTGTGCCTTGTGGGTTAGCTCCCTGATGGAGGATAGAATTCAGGCCTCGGGGGTTGATAGTGCTGATCCTTAACTCCTAGGCCACCAGGGAGGCCCTAGAACTTTGCAAGGTCCTTTGATTAAGGACCTTGAGATGGGGTAATTATCCTGCATTATATGGATAGGCCTGACCATGCACAGTATTTTTAAAAGAGGGTGGCAGGTGATCAGAATGAGGAATAGGTTTCCAATTTATGAAACAGGGACCACAGATGGAAATCCGTAAGTCCTGTGCAGACATAACTTGTTTTATTTTTTTTAAAGATTTATTTATTTATGTATACAAGAACTGGGGTACAGGCCAGAGGTGTGAGGGGTAAGAGGATTCACCAGAGACAGAGTGGGGAACAGAACAGGCAGATAGTCTGAAATACACTACTGAGGGGGAATAGCGGGGGAGACAGGAGAGGTCTGCTGCACCATGTGGGTACCTCCCTGGCTGGGGATCGAACTCGTGCTGCAGTGTCTACAGTTAGCTTCATAGGTTGCGTCTTAACCTCTTGTGCCACCAGGAATGCCCATACCTTGTTTTATTGTGCTTCACTTTGTTGTGCTTCACAGATATCACTGGTGTTTTGTTTCTTTTTTTAACAAATAGGTTTGTGATAATCCTGTGTCAAGCAAGTCTATTGGTGCCATTTTCCAATAGCAGGTGTCTGTCACATTTTGGTTACAGCATATTCCAAACCTTTTCGTTATTATTATATCTGTTATTGTGATCTGTGATCAATAATATTTGATGTTACTATTGTAACTGTTTTAGGGCACCATGAACCACACCTACATGACAGCAAACAATAAATGTGTGTGTTCTACACCAGCTATTCTCCTGTCTCTCCCTGTCCTCAGGTCTCCCTGTTCCTTGAGATACAACAATATTGAGAGCAAGCCAATGAACAACCCTGAAGTGGCCTCTAAGTTTTCAAGTGAAAGGAAGAATCGTAGATGTCACACTTTAAATCAACAGCTAGAATGATTAAGTTTAGTAAAGAAGATGTGTCAAAAACCAAGACAGTCTGATAGATAGCTAAGTCTCTTTCACCAGCTAGCTAAGTTGTTAATGCAAAGGAAAAGTTCTAGAAGGAAACTAAAAGTGCTGCACCAGTGAACACATGAATGATAAGAAAGTGGACAGCCTTATTGCTGATCTGGACAAAGTCTTAACGGCCTGGATAGATCAAAGCAGCTTCAACATCCCCTTTAGGTAAAGCCTAATCCAGATTTATGTCCCAACTCTCTTCAATTCTGTGAAGGCAAGGAAACTGAGAGACAAGGAAACTGCAGAAGAAAAGTTGGAAGCAAGCAGAAGTTAGTTCATGAAGTTTAAGAAAAGAATCGGGGTGCTTAACAAAACCTGTATAACAGCACACCTATTTATAACATGACTTACAGAATGTATTTTAAGCCCATCTATTGCTCAGGGGGATAAAAAGTTTCCTTTTAAAATATTATTGGTCATTGGGCCTCCCTTGGTGGTGCAGCGGTTGCGCGGCTACCTGCAGCCTCTGCAGCGCTGATTCGATCTCCGGCAGTTGGCGAGGGTCCCACACACACACACAAAAATAATAAAATAAAATAAAATATTATTGGTCATTGACAATACCTCTGATCCCCAAGAATACTGATGGATATTAATGAATGCCACTGGCACAACATCTGTTCTGCAGCCCATGCATCAAGGAGTAATTTTTACTTTCAAGTCTTATTAGATGAGAAATACATTCATAAGGCTATAGCTACCATAGATAGTGATTCCTCTGATGAATCTGGGAAAAGTAAATTCTACAGTAAATAGATGACATAAAGAAAATGTGTGACCATGGGAGGTCAAAATAGCAACATTACCAGGAGTTTGAAAGTTGATTCCAACCCTCTGAAGCCAGACCTTGAGGAATTCAAGACTTCAGTGGAGGAGGTGGAAATCGCAAGCGAACTAGAAATAGAAGTGGAGCCTGATTTGCTGCAATCTCATGATAAACTTAATGGACAGGGAGTTCCTTCTTATGGACGAGCAAAAAAGTGGTTTCTTAAGATGGAATTTACTCCTGGTGAAGATGTGAACATTGTTGAATGACAACAAAGTATTTAGCATATTACATAAAACCTAGATGCAAAGTAGCACCAACTTTGTTTTTTTTTTTTTTTTTAAAAGATTTATTTATTTATACAGGCACAGTCAGAAGCGCGGGAGGGTGAGAGAATTCACCAGAGCCAGAGCGGGGAACAGAGCAGGCAGAAGGACCGAGGTACACTGCCGAGGGGAGCAGCGGGCGGCAGGAGAGGTCTGCACGCCATGTTAGCATATTACTTAAAACCTAGATGCAAAGTAGCACCAACTTTGAAAGAAGTTATACTGTGGCTAAAATGCTATGAAACAGCACCATGTGCTACAGGGAAAGCTTTCATAAAAGGAAGAGTCAGCCCATGAGGCAAACTTCATTATTGCTTTATTTTAAGAAATTGCCACAGCCACCCCACCTTAAGGAAACACTAATCTGTTAGTAGCTATCAACATCAAGGCAAGAGCCACTTGTTGAAGGCTCAGATGATTAGCGTTTTTAAAGGAATGATGTATTTTAAAATTGAGCTAGGTTCTTTTTGTAGACAGCTAGTGCACTATTTGCGTCATAATAGCCTATGAAGCCTCAGCACATTTCCCAGGCCCCAAGAGAGGTAACCACCTCACTCTACGTGGGGTACTCTAGGTCCCCCGCAATTTCACACCCCTGTCTGCCAAAAAAAACAACAACAGGTGAGACCGGGCTCCCAATCCCCCAGGCCTGTGTATTGAATGGGTTCACAACACTGTTGAATCTTATTTCCTATCTGTGAAACGGTAACACCTCACCACAATCTGAGGCAGGGGTGAAAAAACTATTCTTTTTAGGGCCTTCCCTGGTGGCGCAGCGGTTGAGCGCTGGGTTGAGAAGCTGCCTGCAGCCTCTGCAGCGCCGGTTCGATCCCTGGCTCCTCCCCGGACACTGGCTCCTCCCCGGACACTGGCTCCTCCCCGGACACTGGAGGAGGGTCCCCCATGGCGCGCAGACCTCTCCTGCCGCCCGCTGCTCCCCTCAGCAGTGTACTTCGGTCCTTCTGCCTGCTCTGCTCCCCGCTCTGGCTCTGGTGGATTCTCTCACCCTCCCGCGCTTCTGACTGTACCCAGTGCTTGTATAAATAAATAAATAAATATTTTTTAAAAACCTATTTTTTTTATTTGTCTTAGGGTTCAGTTCAAGCTCCCCCAGTCCTCTACTCCCTCCTCCCCCCACGTCTAGGATCAATTCTTTTTTTTTTTTTTTTAAGATTTATTTATTCATTCATACAAAAGCTGGGGTACAGGCCAGAGAGGATTCACCAGAGACAGAGCAGGGAACAGAACAGGCAGATTGACTGAAATACACTGCTGAGGGGAGCAGCAGGTGAGTCAGGAGACGTCTGCAGCGCCATGTGGGTCGCCTCCCTGGCCTGCTGGGGATCGAACTCGTGCTGCAGAGGCTGCGGACAGCTTCATAGGTTGCGTCTTGACCCCTTGCGCCACCTGGGACCAATTCCCGGTCTTCGGCACAGTGGGCAGAGGATGCTCCCCGAGTGCCGGGAACCCCGCTCTGGCGGGGTCGGGCAGCCCGCCCGGGCCTTTCCACCGCCCCCGGCAGGGCCCAGGCTCCGCGACCTCGCCAGAGTCGCCAGGGCCGCGGCGCGGGGACCCCAGCGGAACGACCCTCTCCTTCCTGTTTCCCGTCACGCCGCGCTCCGGCCTCGGATTGGCGGAGGCGCCCCAGTCAGTTTCCCCGCGGCCGGGGAGCCGCGGGCCGGCCCCGCCCCCGCCCCGGGCCCCGCCCCCGCCCTCGCCCCGGGCCCCGCCCCCAAGGCCTGCGATTGGACGGCTGGGTCAGGTGCCCCGCGCCTCGCGGAGCGCGCACTGGCCAATCAGAGGCTCCGCGTATTTTACAAACTGGGGAAGTAGCTGCTGCAGGACCCCGGCGAGTCTGGGAAAAACGAAGGAAGTGGGAGCCGTCCTGGGGTGCCCGAGACGGTGCGGCGGGGGCTCTCGGAGGGCGAGGGCTGTGATGGCGCATAGGGAGGAAAGGCCGCTCGTGGGGCTGGGCCCTAGCAGGCTCGGGGTGCTGGAGGTGCACCCAGAAGAGCGGCCTTGCAGAGGCCGAGGGCGTCGGGGCGCTGGCATTTGGGCCGAGGTGTGGGAATATCAGGGTTGTTAGGAGCGTGGCCCGCGAACTCGCTGACCTTTGATCCCTGTCTCTCTTGTAGCCGACATGACCTCCCTCCAAGCCAGAAAGGATTCTGCCCCCCGGGGTGGATCCCCCACCCCTAGCAAGATCCCCGTGCGCCCTCACAGACGCCCGCCGCTCTCCGCAGTCAAGCCCGGCGCGGTGGACCAAGAGAACCAAGACCCAAGGGTAAGAGGGACCTGGTGGGGGAAGAGAGTGGGTACAGGAGGCAGCACACATCAACAGTGCACCCCAACGCTGAGCCCCAGCTTTTTGTCCTCCCCTCCCCCAGAGACCGGTGCGAAAGCTCAGTAGTCAGCACTTCCTCCGTGACGCAGCAGACCCCAGGCCAAAAGCTACACACCAAACAGAGAAATCCGAGCGATTGGGGGCCAGCACTCAGCACCGGAACCCCTTGGAAGAGCTCAGGCCCAGTCCTGGGGGACAAAGTGTGGGGCCTGGGCCTGCTCCCCAGACAGGTACCTGCTGGCAGAAGTCTGTGTCTGAGAATACAGTCTTGACTGGGTGGGAGGATGGCATCTTGCAGTGGGGTTTTAGTCTCCTGCTTGCTGAAGAGCTCTGGTCCCTGCTCCTAGAAATTCTTTGCTCCTGGAAGCAGTCTTCCTTCACCAAAATATCATCCTTGCTATAGACTTTCAGATCCCCTCGGTAACCATCCATTGCTTTGCAGTCTGATACTTTCCAGCACCTTTTACAACAAGCCGGTATTTGAGCTTGAGTCTGTAACCTCTCTATAGCTGATGACAGCTTTTTGAGAGGGGGGTCTTTCTCTTACTCATCTCTGCGCCCCCAGTGCCTGCCACATTGTGTTATATCAAGTTACTGGAACATTTGGTGAACTGAGTTCAATTGAACAAGGCTCTTTGGCTTTTTCTTTGCACTTCAGGGTGACTACACTCAGCTCCTGCCCCTCAGCCTTCCCTCTCCTGCTCCTTCTCATTTTCCTTCTCTCTCCCTGCAGAGGCTCCAGGGGCCATAGAGTTCGTGCCTGACCCAGCAGCCCTGGCCACCATCCTATCAGGCGAGGGGGTAAGGATCTGTCACCTTGGGCGCCAGCCTAGTCTGGCCCAGAGAGTACTGATTCGAGAGAGCCAGGGAGGCAGCATCCGGAGAGGCCAGGTAACGAGACAGGAAATGAGATCAGGCTGGGGTGGACTGAGGAGAGAATTCTGAGCCTGTGCTGACTGCCTCTTTTGGGGTCCCAGGGTGCCCGGGCCTCTGCATATTTGGCCCCCAGAACTCCTATGCACCGACTGAACCCTGCCAGGGCTTCCTGCTTCTCTAGGCTGGAGGGACCAGGCCCCCGCAACCAGACCTTGTGCCCCCAGAGGTCAGAGGTACTTGTGAGTATCCCTGAGGGACTAAATTCAGTGCTCCTTCCAAGCACAAAGCTGGGCTTTACGAGGAAATGGTAGACAGCGGGGTTCTGTGGAGACAGAGGTAAGACCTGAGGTTTGGGCCCACCTCTGACTCAGTTTTTATCTCCTAGAGTCAGAGTCCATCTACAGGGACTTCCTTCCACCCCTCTACTCACCCCCGTTTCCAGGACCTAAGAAGAGAGACAAGTGTCAGCAGTCGGTGAGAAAGAGGGGGTCATTTAGAAAAGAATGATCACATGTCTGATTAGTCTTAGAGCTGGGGCCTTCCAATGGCCTTAGGACTTCTCACCAGCCCAGGAGAAGCCCATGACTACACAGAGATAGCCCTTGGACTAGGAGTCAGGCCTTCGTAGCCAGACCTCAGTATGACATCAGTTTTTTCAAGGGGACCGGGGAGGGCGGGGGAGTTTGGGGACACAGATGAGTGTTCTGTCTCCTTTGTTTAGTGGCTGGAGCATAGACTGTGGCAATAAATGGGATTTGGGTTGATTCCTCACTCTCATCATTTACAGTCATACATCCCTGCCTTAACCTCCAAGCTTCACTTTCTTTAATCTGTCACATGAGGATAATGTTTGCATCATTTTTAGAGGTTGTTCTGGAAACTGAGAGGTTTGTAAAGCACTTAGTATAATGCCCAGCTTATGCTTGGTACTCAGTGACTCAGCTGTTGCCCTTATTGTCCTCAGGACCTCAGTGAGCCAGGCCTCAGGATTGCTCCTGGAGACCCCAGTCAAGCCTGGTAAGTGTGCCTGAATGTGGGTAAAGAACTGGAGAGGTGTGTTGCCTGCAGTGGAGAGCAAGACAAGAGAAAGCTCAGCAGGCTGGGGGAAAAGACCTTCATAGGCTAGAGGTTGGCCCAGTTGTGCTTGTGTCAAAGGAGCTGGTCTTCATTTCTACCCTCTCCCTGTCACTTCCTGCAAGATTTACTGTTCATTGTTCTGTCCTCAACTCCTAAGAGCCCCCACCACACCCCTAGCCTGCTCACACTATTTTGATTAGCAAGTATTTACTGAGCTAGTGCAGGATTCTAAGGAGGTACAGGATGGATCCCTGCCCCTTGGTGGTGCTGTGGAGGCTGTCAAACTGGCATATTCTCTTCCGGAGGTTGCAAAACTCTGTCGCAGACTTTGGTGGGTGTTCCAGATTCTATAGCAAACTTCCTGTCTCTTTCTAGCTTCTTCTTTCCCGGGAAGAGAACATGAAATTGTCACTCACTCAGATGAAGGAGGGGGACCCCTCGGTCTGGCCCAGCGGGTACCATTAAGAGTAAGCAAAGACATGACCTACACCAGGGTGAGATGGGACCCTCCTGGGGCCGGGGTAGTGGGGGAATCCCCCAGCTATAGTCAGCCCTGAGAATTATGAGTAGAACCTGGCAGTCCCCAGCAGGAGTTTTAACTGGGTTTGGATCTGCTTTAGATAGGCCCAAGCCCTCTCCAAGTGGGACTGGTCTCTGTTCACCAGGTGTGTTGGGCCTAGTACAGTATAGGTCATTTGTATCATCATCAAATCAGTGTTGAGAGTGAGACAGATCTGACACTTGTCAACCAAAGCATTCATTCATTCATTCACTCCACATGTATTTCTTGACGAGCTGCTGGAGGCCAAGCACTGTTCTAGGTTCTGGATATAGAGCATTAAATAAGTTGACATTCTAGAAGGGGGAGACAACAGATAAATACACATATAAAATAATATAGTATGTCAGATGGTGATAAGTTCTCTGCTTAAAAAAAGTATTACAGGGAGTAGAAGGGGTGGGGGATGATACTGCAGTTTCAAATAGTTTGGTCAGGGGAATCTCACTGAGAAAATGACTACGTAATTACCAAAAGATGCTGAGTGACTGAGCCAGCCATGGAGATATCTGGGGGTTCTAGGCCAAGAGAATTGAAGCTGCACAGGCCCTGAGGAGGGACCTTGTTTATTTAAGGATCAGCATAAAAGAGATGTCAGCAAGTGAGCAGAGGAAGGAGAATGGCCGACAATGAAGGTGGAATGATAGCGGATCAGATGGGCAAGGATTTATAAACCAGCATAAGACCTTGGCTCTTACTTAGAAAGCGATGGGGAAGGGAGGAGCAAGAAGGGGGTGATGCTTTCATTAGGTCCTGAAGGAATCGCACTGGTTACTACAATGAGAACAAGACAGAGGGGCCCACTCTTTGGCCTTGTTCCTCTCCACAGGACAGCCGAGACTCCCGCCTGATGCCTTCCCCTGGCCATGCGGTGCCACCTTCCGTCTCCCGTCCATCACTCTTTGGACAGGCTCAGCGTGTACCCTCCCCCAGCCCCTCAACCCGGGTTTGTACCTGCAAATTCAGGGGGCTGAGCAAGGGCAGAACTGTCTGGCTGGGCTCCCGGCTAGGTCTAGGTTTTTTTTTTTTTTTTTTTTAAGATTTATTTATTTATTTATACAAGCACTGGGTACAGTCAGAAGTGCGGGAGGGTGAGAGAATTCACCAGAGCCAGAGCGGGGAGCACAGCAGGCAGAAGCACCAAAGTACACTGCTGAGGGGAGCAGCGGGCGGCAGGAGAGGTCTGTGCGCCATGTGGGACCCTCCTCCGGTGGCCTGGGAGCAGCCGGGGATCGAACCGGCGCTGCAGAGGCTGCGGGCAGCTACACAACCCAGCGCTCAACCGCTGCGCCACCAGGGAGTCCCTAGGTCTAGGTTTTATCCCTGCTCAGGCCCCCTGTCTCTCTTCAGATCTCATATTCAGTGTTGAGGCGTCTTGCCAGTCACTCCAAAGCCCAGCTCACACCCATCCCACAAGCACCCAGAGTTCAGCAGGTAAGAGGTCCTAGGGGAGGCCATGACTGGGGAAGGAAGGAAAGTTATGACAGAGGCAAGAGAGATTGGGCCCCATCTGCGGGTGCCTTGCTGACATGTCACTTCTGTCGCAGGCCCAGGGGTTGAGCGGCCTCTCCCCGCAGTCTTGCCCTGAAGAGTCTTCCGTGCCATGGGTAAGTGGAAGTCTCTCCATGCCGAGATCCTTCACTCTGTCCTATTGGCCTTTGGCCTAGCATTCTGCGGTGGGTAAGTTCTCCGGAAAAGCTACCTTACTCTCCAGTTCTCTGTTTCACTGCTGCCCGGCCTAACCAAAGTCTGAGGCCTCTCAGAGACCTTGGACTCAGCCTGGTCTTCCTGCCCCAGCCTGACTTCCTCTCCTTCCATGTGGCAGGATCAGATTTCCATACGGTTATTTGACCAGGAGAGTGGCATCAGGTTGCAGGAGGGGCCTGGGGAACCACCTGTGGCAACTCTTTGTAGCCCCCACTCCGGTAGGATTTCCAACCTTCAGATGCGGAAGATGCAGGTGGGTCTGTGGGACAACAGCTTTGATGCCTGATGGGCAGTGAAAGGGCCACAGAAAGGGGACAGGAAGAGAGGGGCATTTGGGAATACGTGTATGTAGGGACCTGAACCCACATCTTGACATCACAATGGGCTTCTTCCACGCTCTTCCATCCACAGCGCATCAATATTCTGCAGCAGCTTTTGCAACAGGAGGTAGAGGGGCTGGCAGCAGACAAATGTGCCCCTCTGGATATGGTTGAACTGCAGCCCATGCTGACTGAGGTTTCTAGAACTCTGAATGCCCCAGAACCTAAATCTGGGCCTTTCCATGTTCCTGAACTGTTACAGCACTCTGGGCTGCCAAAGCCCTGCCTTTTAGAGGAGTGTGAGGAACCACATCCTGGCCCTGGAACAGAGCCTGAGGTGGCTCAGCCCTGTCCTGTACCAGAGCCAGACCCCCCCGAGTCCTGCCGCAGAAGGGAGTCTGAGATTCCAGAGCCCTCTGCCCAGGAACAGCCTGAGGAATCAGAACCCTATCCTCCAGTAGAGCCTGGATCCCTTCAGGCCTGCACTCCGGGGCAGACTGAACTCCCAAAGCCCTCCTCTAAGCTAGAGCCTGGGGCGTCAGAGGCCTGCTCCCTGAAACCTAGCAATCCAGAATCCAGCCCACAGCTCTGCTGCAATCAGTGGGCTCCAACAACCACCAGCCTGACCTCTCAAAACCCAATTCGTACCAGTCCCCCTAACCACGCATTCCAGTCTCCAAGACCTCCAACAGGTCAGCCAGGTAAGGAGTTGGTTATGAACAAAGGAGGTTCACCTGTCTTGCTGGGAGTGAGCCCCTGCCTGCACCAGTGAGCCCATGCTTTCCTTCCTGCACTTTCTACTCTGCCCCAGCTTGGCTTTCCTGCATTAAGATGGAGGAGCTGTGACCCTAGTCCTGTGCTCCTGATAGACTTAGCCCATGAAGAGGGGGTGGGAATAGAGAACTCCAGAACCTGTCCTGACCTCTGGCCTTGGCCCTCAGGCTCCAGCAATCTGGCCCCTAGAACCCTGGGCCTGAGGCAGCGCCTCAAGGCCTGTCTGACCACTATCCGCTGCTTCCATGAGATCTGCCTGGATGACGAGTGTGCCTTTTACACCAGCCGAGCCCCTCCCTCAGGCCCCAGCCGGGTCTGCACCAACCCCGTGGCCACATTACTTGAATGGCAAGATGCCCTGGTGAGCCTTCCATCCAGTCAGGCTGTGCCCACACAGCAAGCCTGGTGTAGTAGGAAATGGGGGGCGGGGGAGGGCAGGCAACCTTGACTCCTCTACAGGGGTCAGCGGGGTTGGCTACAGTCCAGGATGACTAGGCTTTGACAAGGTCTTCTCTCTCGCCAGTGTTTTATTCCAGTCAGTTCTGCTGCCCCTCAAGATTCTCCATCATGAGGCCTCTGCCTTCACCCACTCCTGCCCTGCCCTGCTCCTTCCTTTTAGCTCTTATTTATTGTTGGCCCAAACCACTGACTGGAAGCCGACACCCTTTTGTCCTTCAATAAAGTTTCTAAAGTATCAAAATGTATTGTTTCTTTCTGATCTGACCCAGTGGCCTGCTGCTGCCAGTGCCCACACGGTGGCAGTGTCCTCCACTTTAGAGACCCATCCTGGCCACAGGGTCCCCCAGGCCACTCACCTGGAGCTCTCCTGAAGGGAGTCAGAAATCATCCCCCTCGGGCCTACGCCATCCCTCAGAAAGCCTCTTATGAGGCTCCTCTATGAGGAGGCAAATGTGGGCCTTTGGGGACTGCTCCTGGAAGACCTTGCTCCTCCAAATCAGTGTCAGTTCCAGGAGCCATTAGCTATTCCCTCATCCCGTAGACCTGTTCCTACGTCAGGCAGAAAGAAGCAGCAGCCCGAGGTCTTTGGAATCTTCCTGTTAGTGCCACTGTGGTTGGTACCTCCCCCCCTACAGTATAAGAAGCTTCCTGAAGCGGACAGCCCCCTCATGCCACAAGGCCGGCAAAGCCCTGGGCAACTCTCCTTTTCCCCCTCCAGAGGCAGACCTCACCAGAAATGACTGAATCTTTGCCTCTGGCGGAGTGACAGGCGGGGTGGGAGTCCTTGAGAGGAGTGAGGAAAAGGGTCAGGCACTTGCCCCCACTCTGTGCACCAAGTTAAGAGGCACACACATTCTCCAATTTCCTTTATTGGAAGAGGCGATAGCAGCTATAGCCCCAGGGCCTAGCTGGGATGGGGATGAAACAAGGACTGTACAGAATGAGCTTTAAAGGCTAGGACAGAATTCACTGGTTCCTCCAGTTCTTAGGAAAGTTGCCTCAGCCAGAGCCAGGAGCCTGATAATGGAGGTGAGGGGAGGAGAGGGGTGGCCAGAGAAAGTCTTCATAACACAGGACCAGCCCGACCCCTTCCCAAGCGCTCTGTTCTCACTCCGATGGGCTCCTCCTTTTTCTCTGCCTCCCAAGACGCCAGGGCTTCCTTCTGCTTTTGGTGCCTCTAGCTCCAACTAATGAAAATGATCCCCAATCGCCTGCAGAAGAGAGGACTGCGGCCTCTCCCCTTCCTGCTCCCACTCTCACAGGCATGTAGGGTGTGGGTTGTCCCTTCCCAAGTCACTTTGCTCCAGCTATGGCCCAACCTCTGCTCAGCAGCCACTAATGCCCAGGAGCACCAAGAGTTGGCCAATAAGAGACCTCTAGGGGAGGGGAGGGGCGGCGAGCCCACAGTCAGCTCTCAGAGGATGGGGTGGGGTCTTGGGTCCCGGCGAGCTGAAGGCGTCGATAAGGAGGGGAGTCGAGGCGGAGGCAGGCGCGGGGCAAGCCGGGGCTGGGGCTGGGGTCCCGGCTCAGTCCGGGTAGATGATGAAGCCAGAGAAGGTGCTGTACTTGTTGGTGTTACCGCCGTGGACCTTCCCGCCGTCCAGCTTGATGAAGACTTCATCGCCCACATCCAGGTGCAGGATGACGCTGTTGCTGGCGTAGTCGTAGTTCTGGTCTGCGTCCTGAGCAATGGCGCTGGCCCGGACCTAGAGGGAGAAGAGGGAACAACCCACTGAAGTCTTGTGCAGAGCTGGCCGAACCGAGTAGAAGCACCTGGGCATGTGAAGGTGGCGTGAGGGTAACAGGCTGCAGGGGCCGGAGGACAGACGAGGAAAGACCAGGACAGACGCTGGATCGCTGGGCTGCTCAGGCTCTGCCACTCACTGGCTGTGTGACTTAGGCAAGTGTCACCTCTTCTCTGGTCCTGAATTTGAGCTATAAAGTGTAAGTAATAATAGAACCTTATCTCAACATTGTTAGGATTAAAGGAGTTGTTGTCTACCAAGTGTATTAGTTCAGTGTCTTGCACATGGGCAATGCTGCATAGGATTTGATCTATTACCGTTTTAAAAAAAAATATTAGCTTGTTAGGATAATTAAGATTCTAAACCCGCTTTGACCTCCTAAACTTGCGTTCCCTTCCCCCACTGACAGGACTCAGGTGTGTCTGGCAGCATGCAAGGGGCAGACCCTGAGAAGGTGCAAAAAAACACGTTCTCCCCTGGCTTGCTGGGTTTGCCGCCTCCTGGAGAGTTCGCGGGTGCACGGACCTGGGGGGTCGCCTCCGCTCCATAGGGAGCCCCCTCTGCCCTCTGGACTTGCTGCTGCTGTTGCCGCCGGCAGCCAGCCCCCTGCCCAGCCCCCCTCTTCCTGTCCCGCGGGGGCTGGTTATTAACTCATTAATTATTCATCATTATTCTAATCACTATTTACCGTCCCCAGGGCCGCAGCGCCCGCGCTACAGAATACAGAGTGGGAGCCCTGGGGCCCCGCCCCTCGGAAAGCAACACTCTCTGGTTCCACAGCCCCCCTCCACCCCTCACCTATACCCGCATAGACTATACACAGCGACTCTGTGCCATATGCAGACAGACAACTCTGTTTTCACACCTTTGCACTCCACAGCCCCAAGACACACTGAAATCACACACACTCTCACTCCCTTACACACACATGCTATCTCACGCCCATACAGGCACACAAACACACTTCTTTTCCCAGGATTCCTGGGGTGATCCTGCTGGGAGGAGACCCCAATGCAGCAGCTACAATCTTGGAGCTGGGGAGTGCTGCAGCCATAGCATAGCAGGACCCAGGCTTGGAACAGCCCGCCAGAGCAGGCCAGGTGCCCCAGGCTGTGGCCAATCCCACCCCTGGGAGGGGGGGCATTCTGAGCTCACTGCTCTGCCCCAACCCCAGCTCCTATGGTCTGGGTGGCTCAGGTCACATCTACCTGTGGGGCTTTCATTCCTTCTATGAATGGCAAATTGGCAGTGACATCCACTCTGACCACCGCAGCAAGGAGTGAGCCTAGAGGGGAGGTCCCCAGGGAGGGTGTGGGGCCGGCCAAGGGCCAGGGTTTCTGCTCTGTCCCTTGCCTCTATTTTCCTTCTCCAAATCCCTTCCTTCAAGCCACCAGACTGGGCTCTGAGCTGTCACACCATTTCCCATCCCTGCCTACCTAGCCAGGATTAGATGAGGGCAAGACACTGTGGCTAGCTGGCATTAAGCGGCCTGGCAAACCAACGAGTGTTTCCTTCCCTTTCTTTGACTATCCAAGCTGAATGCCCCATAAACACTGCTCAGTGCTTGAGAGGGGGATTTCATTCTAATCAGAAGGGTCCAGACTCCAGGCAACTGGCCCCTTGCCAGACTTTCAACCCAGAAACCCAAAGACCAAGGAGGATTGCCCCAGAAGAGAGAACACCCCAATGTGGGGCCAGGAAAAAGAGGCTAATTGGCAGAGTGAAATACAAAAGAAGTTTAGTTATAGTTAAGAGTGTGCGGTAGCAGCTGCAGAGGCACTGAGTTGTGCACACTGGTTCTCATTCTGACCCCATTCCTTATGCTCCTTGAGACCTTGGGCAAGTCCTTTCCTTTCTCCAGCCGCTTATTCCTCCTTGGCTAAATGAAGCCATTTCTAAGTTCTTGGCAGCCTGGGTTCTTGGATTCTGTGGCACTGTTTGGGGAAGGGGTTCGGTGTTAAATAAAAAGGGGGGATTTAGAAGACCACCCGATGGGATCTGGGGATGGCAGGAGGGTGCAGGGGGGGCCTCACCTGTCCGTTTTTCATCAGGTCGGCCCACATGCTGGTGCCGTCGCCACCGCGCATGAGCACATGGTAAGCAAAGAAGTAGACTCCGGGCATGGGGCAGGTGAACTTGCCGCTGGCTGCTTCATAAGCATTGCCCACGTTGGTCACCACGTCGTCGAAGCGCAGCACCTCATAACCTTCATGTGGCCGCCTCAGGCCCGCGTAGAAGGCGATTCGAGGCACGTACCCCGCAGGGGGGGCCACCCCGCTGGGGCCTGGGCCTGGAGGACCTGGGGGACCTGGCCTGCCTGGCTCTCCCGGAGGCCCCCTGGGACCTGGCGGTCCCGGGGGTCCTCGCAGACCTGCTTTCCCGCGCCGGCCCACCTCTCCCTTGGCGCCGGGCGGGAATGGGGGCGCGGAGGCGGGCGCGCCGTCGGGTCCCGGGCCTCGCGGCCCGTGCGGGTCGCACACCATGCGGCAGCGACCCAGCATCTCGTAGTGCGCCGGGCCGCGAGAGCTGTGCACCAGCAGCGGGATGGCCACCAGCAGCAGCAGCACCATGGCCACCCCGACGGCCGCGCCCGCCACCCGCTTGCGGCGGCTCAGCCGCGACGCGGCCAGGGCCAGCAGATCTTCCTCACTCTTGGGCGCAATGGCGGCGGAGGCCCGGGACTCTCCGCGGACCCCGGAGGCGTTTAGGCCTGACTTGGGACGATCTCACCCCCACCCCCGACGGCTACCCCCAGCACTCCCGCCCCTGAGCACTCCCGTCTCAGCTGTGCGGTGCCCCAAACCTTCAGTTAAGGTGCAAGTTCCCCCGTGGGTTGCGCCCGAGGCAGTTCCCGACGGTTCAGGGCCAGTGGCCCTCCGTGACCCTCCGATTCAGTAGGACGATCCCGGGTGCCTGAAATCGGCGACTTCTCGGACGGCTGGTTTCTTACAGACCTGGGATGCCAGCTTTCCGGACGACTGCTTTCTCAAGGATGGCGTCGCCTCGGTCCCGGGCTACCCAGACGGATCGCCCCGGGGTCTGAGCGGGGACTCCGCTGCTCTCTGGACGTCCCGGGCTCTGCGCTGAGGGTGGCGTCCACCGGGCGCGACCTTCTGGCAGGTTGGCGCTCTGGTCTCTTGCAAAGCACAGACCCGTCTTTGTAGCCCCAGCCGCGGCCCCCAGCCCAGCTCGAGCCCTGGCCCCCGCCTCTGCCCCGCAGGGACGCTCCCCTCCGCGTCCCCAGCCCGGCTCCGCTCCTCCCGGGCGGCGGTGCAGGGCTGCGAGCCGCGCGCAGCGGGAGCCGCTTTAAGAGGCCGGTGGGCGGAGCGACCCCTGGCGCCCGGAGCGGGAAGCGCGGGGGCGGGGCAGGCGGGGGCCCCCACCCCGTCCCCCCGGGCGCTGGGCTTCTGCTGGCCTCGGAAAGGGTTTGCAGGGTTTCTGCCCGCGCCCAGTCCTTCCTGTCACCCTCGACCAGGAGTTGAGTATTCACAGCGTCGGAGGAAGCCGTGCACAGCTGCGGGGTGGAAGGGGGTCGAGGTTACACAGAGAAGGCAGAGGTGCACCCCAGGGCTGAAAGGAGCCCCCCCACCCCGCTCAAAAACAAAAAAAGTGGGGGAGGGAGAGAGAAGGAAAAAAGAAAGATAAAAGAAGGGAAGAGGGTAAGGGAGAGGGAGGGAGGAAGAAAAGGAAAAAGAGCACAAGCAAGAAGGGCAAGAGAAGATAAATATCCCACCCCTGACCCTCCGTGCCTGTGACCGAATCACACACCAGCGCGGTAAAGAGTTCAAGGCACGCGTCGGGCTGGATCCGCAAAGACAAATCTCCAGCCACCTCTACCCTCCGCCCCAGTGTTGCGGGTCTCAGAGCAGCTGAGAGGCTTAGGGAGCGAGTTGGAGTGAAAAAAACATTATCAGCCTGGGTGGGGGGCAGGTAGGAGAGGGACAGGGAAGCAGAGAGACACAGAGAAATCAGAGACAGAAATCCAGCTAGAGATGCAGAGACAGAGACAAATCTTCTAAAAGAGACTCACAGCCCCAGAGGGGGAGGGGGGGGAGAGAGAGAGAGAGAAGCAAGACAGGTTGACAGATCGAGAGAGAAATGTAAATGGTGCGCTGCAGAGAGACACCCAGGTCCGTGTTCGGACTCCAATGTGACATATCAACTGTGGGAAGACTCAGGGCGGGGCTGTTCTTCCAGCAGAGTGGCAGGCTCTGGGCCTGTGCATTGTGACAGTTGCTGGCAAGTGTGGACGTGACCATGGGACCCTGGCCTTGTGTGTCCCTGGGTGAGTGGGACTGTGAATTGTGTGTTGTCTTTGTGTGTGTATCGTGAGGGCTGTTTGAAGGGGGGTTTTGTATTTCTCCTTCCTCGTTTTTTTAAATTTGGGGCCCCAGGAATGCCATCTCTCAGGCTAGAGGCAGAAGGCAGCTCTAGCCCCGTTTGCCCTGGGGCCTACCCTAGCGCCATACCTTGTCCAGACCCCAGGGAGCTCCCCTTTTCCCCTTCCTCAAAGGTCTGCGTTTAGATGGAGACCCAGAGGAGTTGGGACCCAAATAATAAATGTTTGGGGGAAGGGTTTGAAGTTGGTTATGCAAATTAATGTAACTAAAATGCAGCTTAAGTGCCAGGCACTCTCCTGTGAGAGATGACTGTGTCTGTCATAGCTCAGGGTGACCAAGAGGGAGCACAGCTTTGATCGCTCTCTCTCTGCGAGGGTTCGGAGCACAGAGAAAAAGGCAGTGATTGCGTCCTTCCTAAGGGCCTGGCGCCTCTGGGGGAAATTTCTTGCTCACAGGGATACCAGGGTCAGAGGCAAGAAGAAGGGATCCAAGGACTGCAAAAGTGGGGATGTTTGCAGACCCTAGAGGTAGACAGCTGCAAAGGACCTTCTTAGAGAGGAGTGGCTAAGCCAGGCCTGTAATGCATAGGAATATGTCATGTAAAGTGGAGGGCATGGAGCATACAGGCCATGATTATTTAGTGGAAGGTGATTTCTTCACCTCTGGTTTCCCAAACCCCTTCCCTGCACCTCCCATTCCATAGTGATGCAGGGAAAAAGAGGTTGCTGAGAACAGGCCTTCCTACATGCTTGAAAGGATTGGGAGAGAAAGGATTGGCAGTCTGTGGGGGAAGGGCCTCCTCCTCCGACCATAAATACAAATTTTATTCAAGGTCTTTGTCACCATTTGTCTGGGGGGGGGGGTGCCTGAGGGCCATGTCAGTCCCATGCATGGCTAATTCCAGATCTGCTCCCCCAGGCTGGGTGATAGATGGATGGGTCAGAGAAGAGAGCAGGACAGGGCCCTCAAGGGCCACCCGAACCCTAGTTCCTCAAGCTCCCCTGACCCCAATTCCTGCCACTCCTCTCCTTTCTTCTTCCCTCTCCCCCTGACCTCCCTCCCCTTATCAGAAGCCTCTCTGCTAGTGCTGCTCCCCACCCCACTCATCCTACTCACCAAGGCCCTCTTTTTGAGCCCCTCTCCCAGGTTCCTTTCAGGTCCCAGCCCTCTTCTCCCGGGAGCTTTCCTTTCCTACCATCCCCAGCCCAAGCTGTGAGCTGCGGTGACCAGCAGGGCTGCCGGCAGCAGCGGGTATGTGTGGTGGGGGGAGCAGGCTTGGCTCACCGGGAGCTGAGGGGCCAGCTCCATGAATTTATTCATGTTCTGTTGCTCTTTCCCCACGCTCTGGAATGAAGCTGCCAGCTCACCAGGTCCTTATTGCTTCCACTGCAGCTGTCACATTCGGCCGAGGAGGGACCTGGGTAGGGTCAAGGCCAGGCAGTGCTCTTGGGCCAGAAGTCAAGTATCCAGACCCATGAGGAAATGCCAGGGTCTGGAACTATTTACCCAGAGCTGCTCAGGCAGTCACACTGGGAGCCTCGGAAATGGCGTGGTTGGGAATGGGAAGTGGCAAGAGAAGAGTATGTTGTAGGACTTAGAAGGGGAAGTGGAGGTGGGGGTGGCCTGATGGGGGGAAGGAGAGGGGAAAGGAAGCTTTTAATGAGTCTCTTAGGCTCCCCGCTTTAAAGGCACAGCCTTTAAATCCTGCCTGAATCCTGGCTTAACTGCCACCCTGAACTCTGCACTAATACTGATCCTCATCCCAAAGTGTACATTTGACTCCTCTCCAATCTTAAAATGATTCCCAGATGAAACCCAACCTTTGTCCTGCCTAGGAACCCCCAGATCTCCCCAGAATTTCCCCCAGGGCTTACAGCCAGGTGTGCCAGAGTTCTGAGGACCAGATTTTGGCTTTGCATGTGATTAGCATATGATTTGCATGTAATATGTGCCTTCTACTCCATGCAAGTTTTCATGTTAAAATTTTATGAAGTCTGTTAGAAAGGTCCTGACTCCTTGGAGGTTCTCCCCTTTTGTTCCTTCTCCTATATCCCTTGCCACTGACCCGGACCGCCTCAAGGGAAGAAAGGCGGTGAGGAGCTGAGCAATAAAGCGTTCAGGGAATGGAAGATCCTGCCAGTGTGATCTGCTCCTGTCACTTGCAGTGTAACTCCCACAAGCCTCAGTTTCCTCAACTGTAAGAGGAAAGGAACCAGCTGGCTAATGTTAAATTAAGATCCAAGGCAATACTTTTTAATCTTGCACTTTTTCCTTCCTGACCTTTCAGGGTCATTCATAGTGTGGTTCTCCCATCGTCTGCATGTTGCACACACCCCTCCCCACCTGCTTTTAGCTTCTGATCACACAGAACTGGCAGCAGGCTGGGTTACCTGTAACCAGGCCCCTGATGGTGAAGAGAAAAGAGGGTCGTTAAAGAGGGCAGGGGTCTGCATATAAGGGAGAAGTGGCATTATCGAGGGCTTAGTATTTCAGGGTGTTCACATGCAAGTGCAGATTGCACCCTGGCTGCACCCCGGAGAGACAGATATATTGTTTTCATTTTAAAGATGCGTAAACTAGGGCCCAGAAAGGAGAAATGGCTTGTCCTTTGTCGCCCAATAAGTGGCAGCCCTAGAACGAAAGTCCTGGTTTCCTGGCTTCGGTGTGGGCACTCTGGAGAAGAGAAATGTCAGCAGAGGTAGTGGGCAGGGCAAAGAAACAGGGCAGAATAAGCACTGAGATTCGAATGAGTTCAGGGGAGATCTGTGTGAGGCCAGCAGGGCTGGGCCTGGGCTCAGTGTGGCCTCCCTTCTGCCCCCGTGGGATGGAGCCAGACACCCAACAGGTGCTCATTCATGTCAGCTAAGGGTGTTGGCTGAAATTAGCAGCAGAGAACTATTCAGAAGCAAGAGAGGAGAGCGGAGACAGCCAGAGGGAAATGTGCCCGAGGTGGAAGGGAGAGAGAAGAGCTGTGGAGAGGGCTGCGGATCGTTCTCCTCCCGCCACGGGTGGGAAAACAGTCTCGGCTCCAGAGCCTGCGGGGCACTTTGCCCTGTTGCGCAAAGGGTGCGCTGGCCTCGGCCGCGGACAGGGAGCTTGGGCACCGCCTGACCTAGAGCTTCCCACGGAGCCCCTGGCACCGCAACTCCGCGCGGCCTGGCTTCGGAGGGCCGGCCCGAGCGGAGATCCACCGGGAGGAGGTGGAGGTTGCTTTTGAGGTGTCTGCTAGGCCAGAGCGAGCGCCGACTTACTTCCACCGCCTCGGACCCCGGGCCAGGTGCCGCTTCGAGCCCCAACCTCCCGCTGCACCTCCTTTTGCGTCCTCACTCCCGCCGTGCGCCCGCTCCAGCCTTCAGTTAATGAAGTGTGGCGAGCGGCCGCACAGACAGCTGTCAGACCCCTCATTTCTCGGAGGGGATATTGGATGCGCGCGGGGAGACCGACAGGTGAGCGAGCAGCGGCGGGGTGGCGCGGGGCGCCGGGGGAGGGGCGCTGCTGCCGAGAGCCGGGAGCCCGGGGGGCAGCGCAAGCCCGAAGCCTCGAGGGCTCGGCCGGGGAGGTCGGCCCCGGACGCCTCTTCTGCGGGAGCCCCTGGCTCTGTCCTCTTCTCGGAGGAACAGGAGACTTGGCAGCCCCACACCTCCCAGGCCGGGCGCCTCCGGCTCCTGGACCCGCACCCGGGGCCGGCCTGGCTGCCGCGTGCGCTGCGCCCAGCGGCTCGGGAAGGCGGCGGCGGCCGGGCGCCTCCTCCCACCTCCTGCATCCCTGCCAGCCCGCTCCCCCTCCCTGCGCGCTCCCTCCCCGGCTGCCGCGGCCTTTATTAGGGATTCCGCGGCTGTCGGTCCCGCCATCCATCCTGTCCGCCGGCAATTAGGCGGCCAGACAAAGAGCAGCTTCGGATGGATGAGGGTCCCGGCGGATCGGAAATGTGAAGGGTCAGCGCAGCCGCCCGCGGCGCCCCCGGGCCCCCCCCGCATAATCACCGGTCGCCCGTCACTCAGCCGGCCGCCCGGGAGCGCCGGGCCGGGCTGGGGAGGCGGCGCGGGCGGGGCCGCAGCCTGGGCGCCCAGGGCGGGCGAGCGCGCGCGCACCTGCCCCGGGGGCGCCTCCCGCCGGAGCCCCGCGCGCCAGGCCGCAGGCTCCGGGAGGGGAGCGGGCAGAGCCAGGCCCGGGGGCGACCGGTGGAGGCGGGCTCGGGATGACCGCCCCGGGCTCTCAGCGCGGACCCCGCGCGCCGGCCGCACGCGCCCTCTGCTGGGAGCCGCGGCGCGCAGCCCCGAACCGGGCCGGCACCGGGGACCCGCGCGCAGGACCCGCCCCGTGGGGAAACCGAGGCTTGGAGACCGTGCGTCTCCTGCCGGAAGAGAAGACCACGGCGCTCCTGTTCTGCAGTCTTTTAAGTGATACCCAACCCGGTCCACATCGAAGCCAGGGAAGCTCCAAGGCTGGGTCTGAATGGAACCGAAAGGAAGTTCTAGGAGTCCGGGTTTTACTGCGAACTCTTTGGCGCTAGCTCCCTGCTGACAAATCATCTCAATCTGACAATTAGTGGTCGAGTGGGGTGGGGGAGATCGGGGTTCTCGCCGCCCGGGCCGCTTAGCCTTCCCGGCGAGCGGCGGCGAGGTGGGCGGTGCTGGCAGTGATGAACGACTCTGGGGGGGGCCGGGCCCCAGAGCGCGCATTCATTACTCGACTGACAGGCGGGCGGCAGGCCGCGCGGGCCTTGAGTGGACGTGCTGGGAAAGAGGCCAGTGGCAGGAGGGAGAGTAAGGAAGACGTTTAATAGCCCCACCGCTGGGTCAACTCCTTGTTCCTGGCCTGGACTCTGGTATCTTGATTTCCTTGAGAATAGCCTCTGGGTGGCTGGAGCTGGCCCTGGTTGCAAGATTTGAGAAGTGGGAGGTGGGACCTGAGTCCTCTTCTCAGGTTAAGCAACGTAAGGACTAGTACAAGAAAGGATGTGTTCAGGCCTGAGATTAGACAGCTCAGCCTGACCTGGGAGGAACTGTGCAGGTGTGTATACCCACCGGTGGTGTGTGTGACAGGGATCGGCGGGTGTGGGTCCCACATGGAGGTCAGTCACCTCGTGTCAGTGTAAGGCATCCGTCAGCCTGATTTTGTCAGAGGAAGTGTGCGCTGTGTGTCTGAAGATGAGTCGCTGCTTCTCCCTGTGTCTGCCCCAACACATACACACACCACTTGCTGTCAGCTAGCTCTCTGTCTCAGTCCTGAAGGAAGGCAGTGAGCACAGTGGTGACAGCTGAGGTGTACTGCTTTGGGTGGGGGCTAGACATTAACCATGACAATGCTGGTGCTTCTTCTCTTCCTGAATATCATCTCTTCCCTAAGCTTCCTGAAAACCGGACATGTTGTTTCCAAAGTCTGCAGACCCACTGCTGAATCTTGGGGAAGAAAGTGGTTACTACTAGAATTTATCTAGTCTTACACTCCTACACACACACACTCTCCATCACATACACAGACCATCTCCAATATAAGATGTGATCCTTAGCCCATCTGACTCCCCCCTAACCCACCCCCCAGGAGGTGGTCATGGAGAAGGAGGGTGGGTTTCAGGAAGAGAAGGGGCAGATCATCAGAACTCCAAGAGAGTTCTTTCTTCTGGGTCTGGGCTAGCAACCCTAGGGGCCCTTACCTTTTTTTTAATCTCAAGTCCAGTTGCTAGTTGACAGCATGGGAGGATAATGCTAATTTTATTCCACTTCCTCTCCCTAATAACTTTCTTCCTTCACCTTGCTTTGCCTGCACTCTCCTCTCCAACTCTCAAACACACCCCAAAATTGAGCCTGGCCTCCTTCCCAGTACTGAATCTTCTGGGTCTGCAAAGCAAAGTCCGTGTGGATCTGGATCTCTGGTCCTCTGTTCTGTGTAGTGTGTCTTTCAGCCACTTTCCCTTTGCGTTGCTCTTCCTCATAGCTAGGGTATGTCTTGGGGGTTCTATATCTTTGTCTCTGCACCCCTCTTCGTGTCTACATATCTCCACATGTCGGGACCTTCCAAATGTGTATCCCTACATTTTGCATCTTTCTTTGGTGCCCCTGGAGCCTCTTCCCCTGGGACTATCAGTGCAACAGGGAGGCCCAGGGGATGGGGGAGGAAAAGGAGCTTCCTTCCTCCTGCAGCCCAAGGATGGTCCCACAGTGCCAGGGCCAGGCCCCGGCCAGGTCGCTTCTCATTCAGGGCACAGGCGCCCGGTCGATGCCCCGCTGTCCACCACCCGCTCCACGCCGCCCTCCTCCAGGCCCCCCGCTCCCTCCGCCGGCCTGGAAAAGGCAAATTTGACATTTTTAAATCCCGAGCCTTAGAGGGATCGATGCGGCCCGGGGGCCCCCGCCCGGGGTCGATATTCCTGATTGGGAAGCGGCCGCTGCGCCAAGCCCGCGTGTAAATCACCGGGTCTGGGGGAGGGGGGCGCGGAGCCGGGCGGGTCCCCGCGCAGGCTGGACTCCCGGGCGAGGGCATGGGGAGACCCACGGCCTCAGCGCCCCGCGCCCCGCCGGCCCGAGGGCCCCTCCCCCCCGCGCCCCGCGCCCCCCTGCGCCGCGGGCTCGGGCGGGCGGGCTCTGGTCTCGCTTCGGCGGCCGCCACCTCCGTTGCCCCTGCAGCCGCCGGGGAGGCCGGAGTCGGAGCCAGCCAAGCGGCGGCTCCTCTCCGGCCGCTCCCGCGGGGCCGGAGCTTCGGCGGCGGCTGTCACGAAGCCGACAGGCCCGGCTGGACGCGAAGGGGCGGGAGGCGGGGGTGGCGGGGGGTGGCGGGGGGTGGCGGGGGGTGGCGGGGGTGGCGGGGGCGGGGGAGGCTGGCGCGGCTGGAGCTCGCGGCGGGCGCGCAACAGATGTCTGCGGAGTCGGGGGACCGCGCGGTGGCTCGGGACGCCTGGCGGCGCGGGGCCGGGAGCGGGGGCGCGGCGGGGCGGGGGGAGGCCCAGACCTGGCGGGGGCGGGAGCCCGGCCTGCGGCGGGGGGCGCCGGCCCCCGGGGGCACGCTGGGACGGCCGGGCGGGGTGGGGGGAGCCCTCCCCGGGGGCCAGGCCGGCAAAGAACAGAAGAGAACCGGGGAGCGGGAAGTTTGGGCCCCACCTACAGCCGCCTCGGTGGCTCCTGGCCCCCAGTCCTCGCAGTTCTCTGCTGGAGAAGTCGAGGCAGTCGAGGCCGAGACGCACCAGGGAGGTTAAAAGCCGGATCAGCGGCCAGAATTCCTGCCGGGGTCTCTGGAGCCACCTGCCCGCCCCGGGTCCGCGGCGGGGAAATGCACCACCCGCCCCAGGCGAAGCTCAGGCGCGCCCCTCCTGCTTTAAATCGTCAGATCCCCCCCCCGACCCCCCATTCTCCACCGCGCGCCAGTTTATAGAACAACAATTTGGGGAAAACAATCCGGGCCGAGTGACGGCCCCGTAATTGTGACAAAGTGAGTGCGGGCGGCCGGAGCGCGCCGGGGCGGGCAGGGGAGGCGCCGCCCCCTCGCCCGCCCCCCGCGCCCCGCCGCCCGCTCGTTCTCATTCCGGTCACCTCCCGTCCCTCTCCTTGACTCTTCTCCCATCCTTCTCCCGGCCCCTGGCGCCTCCCTCCGCTCGTTCCTCCATCGGTCTTCGCTTTCCTCCCGGCGACGGCTCTTCTCCAGGCGCCCCCCGGGCCCGCCCCGCGCGCTTCGCCGGCGCCACTTCTCCATCCCTCGGCCCCGCGCGCGTCTCCATCTTCCCCTCGCGCTGCGGCCGCCGGCGGGTCCCTCGCCCCCGCCGCACCGCCCGCCCCTTCCTCGCCCAGCCCTCGCCGCCCTCGCTGGCCCTGGGGCTCCCCACCCCGGGAGGCCAGCGCTGCCCCCGCGCCCCGGGTTTGTCCGGCCTCGGAGCTGGCGACCGAGGGGTCCGGGGGGCCGGGGTTGCCCCTTCCCTCTCCCTGGCGCCGCTGCCTCCCTCAGCCCGCGCCGGGAGCCCGGAGCGAGTTTGTTTGTCCACTGGCGGCCGCCGCCGCCGGTTCTGTTTGCCGAGCTTAGCTCGCCGGCGCGCGGTGCGGGCCCAATTAAGTTTCATTCATTATTCAACGCCCCTGTCCGCCCCCGCCCCCAGCTGGCGGCTCCAGCCTTGGGGTCCCTCCCAACCCTTCCCCCTCGACGAGCCCCGGGGGGAACTAAGGTGAGCCGGTTCCCTCCCAGGCCCCGACCAGAACGGAGGGCCTGGGAGCGTGGAGGGAGCCGAAGCGCTCTGCAGAATTGGGGGAGGTACTTGGGAAGGTCCTCCAGGCTCCCCCCGTGCTCAAGTGAAAGCCCGGGGACGGTGGACAGCCGGGCCTTTCCCCTGCAGAGGAGAGCACCGGCCTCGGAAGCCGTGACTTGGCCAAGGTCACGTAACAACAGGGCAGGATTCGCGCCCAGGGCGCGGCCTGAAGGCACCGCGCGTCCCGGGCCTGTCCCCGCGGGGCCACAGGGTGCTGGGTGGCGGGAGGGCTCTGGCCTAGCTCTTCTGCAAGGGCCTGGGCGCTCCCCTCACCCGCTCAACTTCTGCCCTGTTTTTCTTTTCTCTCTTATTTTAATCTGCCCCTGGTTGTCATCGCGCAGCCCGCGGGACACAGCAGGCCCGTGGCGCCCACTCGGGAGTTTCCACAGATCTCAGGCTCAGGCCTAGGTACAGTGACCCGCGACTGGCAGACTCGGAGGCGGGGCATTCGGCACACTCAGGTGTGTGTTGGGGGGTCCCCTCTCCGCGGGCTGTCGGCGGGTGTCTGTCTTAGAGGAACTGAAGGTGGAGTCAGCTCAGGTGGCCTCGAAGGGCAACGAGTAGAGAAAGAGGACAGTGCACCTGAGGTCAGGCCAGAGGCACCCTCTCTTTGTGGGGGTGGCGAGGGGCACTCCACGGCCTGCTTTGTTTTGTTTTGTTGGGGGGCGGGCGTTGTTTTGTTTTTGCATTTCCAGGGAACCGCTCGGGGCGGCTCACCCTGGCAAGGTGAGTCTGGGGACGCGCCAGCCCCGCCCTTCCGCGGGCCGCAGCGCCACCTGGCGGCGACGCGGGGCAGGCGGCGGCCGGGAGGGAGCCCCGCGGAGCCCCTCGAAGCCCGGGGGGCGGAAAGCGCCGGGACGACAGGAAACCTAGGGAGCCAGACCCGGGAGTGGGGCTAGAGGAGCCGGAGGCTGAAAGGTGACCCCGAGGGCCCGGGGAGGGCCTTGGGGAGGAGCCTGGCCCAGGAGGCCGGCCCGACTTCCGCGACGGCTCGCGCGGAAAGTCAAAGTCCACCGGGGCGGCCGGGGCGCGCGGAGAGGGGCCATCTTGACTCTGGGGTCAAAGGAAATGACCCGGCCTGGGGCCCGGGGTATCCAGGTACGGCTGCTCGCCACGGGGCTAGCGGGTTCTGGCAGCTGGTTTGGTCTTCTAGGGAATAATTCAGGCCCTTTGGAGAGACTTTGCAAGTGTGCCCTGGAAAGAGGTGATTGAAATGTGGGGTGCCAGGGTCTAGGTCGAAACGTAGTTTTCCAGAGCTGATTAAGTGGAGGGAATTCAGGGCTTCTTTCAAGATTGAGTTGGGGAAGATTTCATCTGTGGAGAGAGGGGAAGGCTGGAGAGGGGCTAAGACCTTGGCTAAGAGCCTGAGGACGGCCATAGTCGGGCGGGAAAAATGGTTGGTACCGGGGTCTTTTAAAATGTGTGGGCACTTTAGAAGGGTCTTCTATTTGCTCCGCTGCCCCAGTGGCATTTGGGGGTCAGTGTTCTGAGGGGAGTTCTAAAATCTAAGCGTCTGTGTTTTTACCTGTGTGCCGAGTTCTCAGTTACTCAGCTGAGAGCATTTAAAACATTCTCCCCCAAAGTGGCATCACTTTGGTTGTAAGAAATAGACCTGAGGTGCTGGTCCAAAGGATGTGGAGAAATCGGCATTTCAGGAAGATCTAATTCCATTATAATTGGAAGAAATGGTTATTGTGTTGGGACCTGCATATAGTCTTTTTTTTTAAAAAAAGATTTATTTATGTATACAAGAGCTGGGGTACAGGCCAGAGATGCGGGGGGTAAGAGGACTCACCAGAGCTAGAGTGGGGAACAGAACAGGCAGACTGACTGAAATACACTGCTGAGGGAAGCAGCGGGCGAGACAGGAGAGGTCTGCTTTGCCCTGTGAGTTGCTCCCTGGCTGGCCGGGGATCAAACTTGTGCTGCAGAGGCTGCAATTGCTTCCTAGCACAGTGCTTAACCCCTTGCACCACCAGGGAGGCCCCCCTGCATATAGTCTTACAGTTGCTTTTTTTCCATTCTTAAGGTGTATGGATAACTCTGGGGCCATGACTGCCATGATTTTCACAGAGGACCCCAGATTTCTGCAGTGTGAGCAGTGTCAAGTGCTCCTGGACTGGTTCTGAGAACTCTTGCCTAGAGAATGGCCAAGGGGCTCCTGGTGACCTATGCCCTCTGGGCTATAGGGGGCCCTGCAGGGCTCCACCATTTGTACCTGGGGCGGGACAGCCATGCGCTGCTCTGGATGCTTACCTTGGGAGGAGGTGGGCTAGGCTGGCTCTGGGAGTTCTGGAAGCTCCCAAGCTTTGTAGATCAGGCAAACAGAGCCCAGGGTCAGAGGCAGCACTCAGGACAGACACCCCCTCTGAGTCCCATTCGTTTTGTAGCCCAGGTGATGGTGGGCATGTATTTTGGTCTTGTGGCCCTCATTAGTCTTTCTTTCATGGCCAATTTCTATGCTGTGGGCCTCCCGCTGGCAGTTGGCCTAGGAGTCTTGCTGGTGGCTGCTGTTGGCAACCAGACCTCAGACGTGAAGAACACGCTAGGGGCAGCATTTCTCACTTCCCCTATCTTCTACGGTCGCCCCACAGCCATTTTCCCCATCAGCGTGGTTGCCAGCATTACAGCCCAGAAGCACCGCCGCTATAAAACTGTGGTGTCAGAGACACTCAGTGTGCGGCTTTACCGCCTGGGCTTAGCTTACCTTGCTTTCACGGGCCCCCTGGTGTACAGTGCTCTCTGCAACACAGCTGCCACCCTCCACTATGTGGCAGAGACCCTTGGCTTCTTCTTGAGTTGGTTCAGTTTCTTCCCTCTCCTTGGCCGCTTCTTGGAGTCTGTCTTCCTTTTGCCTTACCGGGTCTGGAGGCTGCTGGTGGGGGATCCTGGTTTCAGCAATGGCTCCTTCCAGGAGTGGGAGAAGCTCTATGAGTTCGTTCACAGTTTTCAGGATGAGAAGCATCAGCTGGCTTACCAGGTAAGGCACTCTTCCCTCTGGTTTCTATCTGGGATGATTCCGGGAGTAGGCTGAACATTACTGGAGCAGGTGCCCTTGTGTGGAAGTACTGTTTCCATGCCTGCTTAGTTAGTCCCGAGAAGGGTGTCCTAGCTTCTTTGCACTTCTGTGTAATTGGGTGATGGTGCAGGGCTCTGATAATGAGTGGGTAAAATATATGTGTTTATTATTTCCTTTTTATCATTTAACACATATAAACTACACTGGTTTTATATATATACCTACGTAACTACTGCTTAGATCAAGCTGTGGAATATTTCCAGCACTAAGAATGTTCCCTTGTGCCATCCCAATCTATATGCCTTTTCTCCATGGTAACCTCTATTCTGACTTCTAATATCTTTTTTTTTTTAAGATTTATTTATTTATTTATACAAGCATTGGGTACAGTCAGAAGCGCAGGAGGGTGAGAGAATTCACCAGAGCCAGAGCAGGGAACAGAACAGGCAGAATGATGAAATACACTGCTAAGGGGAGCAGCAGGCATGGCGGGACAGGGCTGTCGCGCCATGTGGGACCCTCGCCGGTGGCCAGGGATTGAACTGGTGCTGCAGAGGCTGTGGTCAGCTTCGCAGCCCAGTGCTCAAATGCTGCGCCACCAGGGGAGGCCCATATTCTGACTTCTAATATCATAGATTAGGTCTGCCCATTCTTGAACTTCATATAAGTAGAATCATGTAGTGCATACTATTTGGTGTCTGACTTCTTTCATTCAACATTATTTTTGTGAGATTTATTCAGATTATTGCATGTGTTGCAAATTGTTTTCATTGTCCTATAGAATCCCATTATATGGCTATACCCCCATTTACCCATCCACTCTATTGTTAATTGAACATTTAGGTTGTATCCAGTTTAGACTATTCTGAATAAAATTGCTATGAACATTCTTTTTTTTTTTTTCAAGATTTATTTATTTGTACATTCAAGAGCTGGGGTACAGGCCACAGATGCAGGAGGGGCGAGCAGATTCACCAGAGACAAAGCAGGGATCAGAACAGGCAGACGGACTGAAATACGCTGCTGCGGGGAGCAGGGGGCAAGACGGGAGAGGTCTGCCTCGCCATATGGGTTTCTCTCTGGCCGTCCGGGGATCAAACTTGTGCTGCAGAGACTGCAGATTGCTTCATAGTGCGGTGCTTAACCGCTTGTGCCACCAGGAGGCCCTGCTGTGAACATTCTTGTACATGTCTTTGGTGGACATATATATTTATTTCTCTTGCAAGCAGGAGCTTTTGTCAGTGTTGTGAAGTTCCATGTTGGGAAATGAACAGCTATGATTAAAGGCAAGTCCTGGTTCTTGCCATGATAACTTGTCCATGTTTCTACATATTGGAATTCCAACCTGACCTTTTCCTATAGGCAAGTAGAAGCCAGTTCCAGAGATAACCAAAATCTGACTTAGCACAGAGAGAACCAGAGGCCCTGACAATTTATAGGATTCTAATTTGTCAACTTCTGCTTTCCCTAAGGTTTTGGGTCTCCCAGAAGGGGCAACAAATGAAGAAATACACCGCAGATACCAAGAGCTGGTGAAGGTCTGGCACCCTGACCATAACCGGCACAAAGCAGAGGAAGCTCAGAAGCACTTCTTGGAGATTCAGGCTGCTTATGAAGTCCTGAGTCAGCCCAGGGCGTCCTGGAGATGAGAAGAAACTTCCCCTTGAGGAGGGACTCTTCCTGGCAGAGCAGGGAAGCTTGTGCCAGCCCAGCTCTGTCCATGTGGGACATTCCAGTAGCATTAAAGAGACTGCTTGCAGTGGAGATGAGAAAACCTTACAGTGGTGAGAGAGCTATTGTGGTAGAAGAATATATTTGTGTTTTGAATTCTGGAATTCTTGACTATTTTATTCCTGACTTTTTTCCTTTTTTTAAAAAAGATTTTATTATTTATTTTTGTATAGAAGAACTGGGGTGTAGGCCAGAGGTGGGAGTGGTGGTAAAAGGATTCACCAGAGGCGGAATGGGGAGCAGAACAGGCAGATCTACCCAAATACACTGCTAAGGGGAGCAGTGGAGCAGGAGAGGTCTGCTGTGCCATATGTGGGTCAGCTCCCTGGTGGGGGATTGAACTCAGGCTGCCGTCATGGTGACAGTGCAGAGACTTAACCCCTAGACCACTAGGGAGGCCCTGACTTTTCTTATAACCAGATAGCAAAATGAAAGACATATTATAAAACCAATGAAGTATCTTTTAGAGACTATACACCTTTATACCACCCCTGGTATATAGTAAGTGAGAGTGCAAGGTTATTTAACTGTGAGATGTAGTTCATTGAAGGAATTTTGTGGAAAATCCTCAGACTTTACATAGGTAGGTGGACTGGCTACATTCTCAGATCTTCTCAAAACTTGGGATCTGATTCTGAGCTATATACCCTGTTCCCTAGGAGTTTACTGTCTGATGGGCAGTAATAACACGTGCACAGATATCAAAGTGCCACGTTCACTGTTTTGAAGTCAGTGTCATAATTGGTGTAGAGTACATTGGGATATTGAGGAAGGGATAAATAAAAAAAAAAGGAATAAGTGACATTGTTTTATTGGTGCTCATGTAAAAATTCATGATTTTATAGCTCATGTGCCCTTACAGGGGTTTTTGGGAGACCCCAGAAAACCAGTAGCTTGAGCACCTCAAGGGGGCTTTATCTAATCCCTAAGTAACTAGCCAACTTTGAAAGAAATATCCCAGGATACATCAGGAAGCCTGGAGACTAAGAACATGTTGTTAAAATTAGGTAACTTCACACTTTATTTGTGTATATATCCCTCATACTTCCCTTTTTGAGGGAAGTGGACTCTGAATAGTATACGTACTCTTAAAAAGTGGTATTATTATTATTTTTTTAAAGTGGTATTATTTTTTAAGATTTATTTATGCATACAAGAGCTGGGGTACAGGTCAGAGGTGGGGGGGGGTGAGAGGATTCACCAGAGACAGAGTGGGGAACAGAACAGGTAGACTGACTGAAATACGCTGCTGAGGGGAGCAGCAGGCAAGACAGGAGGGGTCTGTTGCCTCCATGTGGGTTGCTCCCTGGCCGGCCAGGAATCGAGCTTGTGCTGCAGAGGCTGTGGACAGCTTCACAGCGCTGCGCTCAACCTGCTGTGCCACCGGGGAGGCCCCTTAATTGTTTTTTTTTTTTTAAGATTTATTTATTTATGCATACAAGAACTGGGGTGTAGGCCAGAGGTGCAGGGGGTGAGAGGATTCACCAGAGACAGAGTGGGAGCAGAACAGGCAGATCTGTTGAAATACACTGCTGAGGGGAGCAGTGGGCAAGAGAGGAGAGGTCTGCTGTGCCATGTGGGCCGCCACCTCCCTGGCCAGCTGGGGAATCAAATTCAGTGACTGGCAGTAACTTGATAGTGCTGTCTTTAACCCCTGAGCCACGAGGGTCGCCCCCATCCATAATTGTTAAGAAGATCTTTTATTTGGTTATAATTTGCTTCCCTGTAGTTTCTTTTTAGCTCTACCATCTCTTCCTACAAAGAATAAAGACCAATTAAAAAAAAACCCTTCTTGATAAGAACCTGCCCTGTATCTCATATTTCTCTAAATCTCCCCTTTTCCAGATTAAATATCCCCTTGTTTAAGGAAGCACTCAGTTTGACAGAAAGAGGATGTGTGGGTTCTACTTCTGCCTCTCATGTAACCAGCCTTCTGACTTTAAGCCACTTCAACACTCTGGGCCTCAGTTTTTTCCTTGCAATGTGAGGAAGGTGGTCTTCACTAACCTTTAAGATTGTTGCAACATTGGATTCTGGGTTCTTCGCTTTTCAACCCAGGCTAGTGATCAGTGGTTTATTTTGTCCTCTTCTGTCTGCCCTCTTGTGGACACTGTCTTGGGAAAAAAATCTTTAAATTTCTGGAGCAACAATATAATAGCCATGATCCCCAAATAAAAAAATTCTCTCTCCTTCATCAAACCATTTTCATTTATTCATGTTCTTTTCTAGACCTTGTCAATAAATGTATGTAATTAGCTTTTATATAACTGAATCATATCAAGGACAGAATTTTGTCGTTTCTCCTTCTCACTGATTCATAAGCATATACGTGAAGATTTTACATTTATGTATATGTTATATCATTGAGGTATATTTCATACACCACAAAATTCACCCTTCCATTTTATTTTTCATTCACCTTTTCAAAGTATAGAATTTAGAGGTTTGTAGTATGCATTCATCATGTACAGCCATCAACGCTAGATCCAGAACATTTTCGCCACGCCAAAAAGAAACCTCAGCCTTCATCCCCTGGCAATTACTAATGTACTTTCTGTCTCTATAGATTTGCGTATCCTGGACACTTTATATAAACGGAATCATACAATATGTCTCCCTTTATGTCTAGCTTCTAGCACTTGGTATAATGTTTTCAAGATTTATTCTTGTAGCATGCATTATCATTATATGTTTTTTATTTTATTTTTTCAAATAACACATTATATTTTAATGTTATGTAATATTCCCTTTTGAGGAGACATTTAGGATATATTTGTTATAAAAATGCTGCATCAATATCTTCATGTCTCTAATTCATCTATTCTCTTGAATTATTTCAGAATAAATTCCCATGGGTGGAATTACTAGGTCAAAGGGTATGAACATTTTTATGGTTTTTGTCAATATTGCTCTTAAATTGTGCCCAGAACTAAACGCAATTTTCAGATGTGCTCAGACAGAACAGGGTGTTGTGGGGCTATTAAGTTCTCAAGGTCTGGACAATATATCATCCATTAAATCAAGCAATCTTTAGAATTTACTAGCTTTTTTTGGTTGCTCATTGAGCTTATAGCCAACTGAGGTCCTTAGGTCTTTCCTAGGCACTATGAAAGCTATGTTTGCTTCTATTTTAGGACCCAGCAGATTTTGAGGACTCTGACCTGAATTTAGTGTTTTCTTTTTTTCAGTAACAACGTTATTGTCTTTTTTTTTTTTTTTTAGATTTATTTATTTATGCATACAAGAGCGGGGATACAGGCCAGAAATGCGGGTGGGGCGGGGTGGGGCGAGAGGATTCACCAGAGACAGAGTGGGGAGCAGAACAGGCAGACTGACTGAAATACACTGCTGAGGGGAGCACCTGGGCGAGACAGGAGAGGTCTGCTGCACCATGTAGGTTGCTCTCTGGCCAGCCGGGATCCAGTCGTGCTGCAGTGGCTGCGGATTGCTTCAGGCCCAACAATAACGTGCAGTCTTAGTAAGTTAGGAGGTTAGTATTCATTGCAATATTATCTAGGAACTGCAGATGGAGCTGTTAGGCTGTCACAAGGATACACCATGTCCTTTAATTCTTTTTTTAGGATCTGGAAGTGGAACATATTTAGCAGGTCCATTATCAGAATTCAGTTTTCCCCTTTTGTTGAGGAGAAGAGAGCTACTGTGAAGTTGGATTTTGGTGTTATTCAGGGTAAACTCCAATTGAAGCAGGTCTAGGAGACTCTGGGACAGTTAGAGTCCTCTGTTAACTGTTAGAGCTTTGCTTCAACACACAACCCAAGCCACTTTGATTTTTGAAGTTCACATCCTGAGAAACTGGGTGATTTTTTTGTTTGTTTCTCTTTGTTCCTTGCCAACCCCTTCCCTTACTTCAAGGAATTGAAACTTTTTCAACTAAGTGGATGGTTTTGCTAAGATGGGTTTTAAACACCATTAGCAGAAAATTTACAGTGTTCCCACCTAATGAGAGTTTTAGTTCAGTAATGCATTGCCCATTTCCTTTTCCTCTTCATCCCAAGTTATTTCTCCCCATCTCTCACTTGGACTTTGCCTGGTCAGTCTGTTTATTTGCAAACTATTATAACTTTAAGCAAGAACTTGGATTTCCTCGATTTAAATCTTAATGGCGATTCACCAGAATAGAGCAGTGCTCCATGTGGGAGAGTTGGAAGGGAATCATTGTAACCTACTCTGTGTCAGACCTTAGTCCCTTTTATGGGCTGAGAAAGGTTGTGGGGAATATCCTCTGCAGGGTAGTGACCCAGCTAGTATGTGAGCCTGACTTTGCAAGGGCCACTCAAAGGGGCATCGTCCTTAGCTTGCATAGGTCAGGCATCTTTCAGATGAATTAGTATCAGGAATGGAAGGGGCTGGGTATGGGGGAAACATAAATGTCTTCTGTTGATATCTTTCCCAATCATGTTACCCCTTCTGCCCCCGCTTCCATACCATCGCTGCTGTTTTTGGACTTGGTCCCTCTTTATTGCTTTCACTCCCGGGGTCTAGAGCTGAGACTCTGAGTTTACTGATTTTCTTTGTAACTTGGGTTGGAAAACAAATAATTGCTTAATTCAGGCAAATGGTATCATTACTGTTTTATTCAATGACTGGGAACTCATTGCTTCTTAGTTAATTTTTCTTCCATAGCTAAGAGATGGATAATTTCAGAGTCATCTCCTTCAAGCTCTAATTTTATTCCATGGGTGAGTTTCTTTGTTCTCATGTTCGTGCCCTTTGTTGACGTCATTCTTCTCTCCTATGATTTTTTTTCCTCTTTGCTACACATTTTACAATCCAGTTTAAGGTTTATCCCTAAGTGATGACTTCACTGATTAATTCTATCCAAAGCAATCTTTCTCCTTTGAATTCTTTCAGCATTCTTGTCCAGTTTGTATCATTTTATCAAGCATTTTCTCACATGTAGCCATGTAATTGTTCTCTGTACCATGTTTACAAGTCTTATCTCCTTAGCTATACCAAAGCCCCCAGAGGGCAGGGATTGTTCTCTTACAATGCAAATAACAGGACATTTACCATTTAGTTAAATTTGTTTTAAACTATTATTTATTATTTAATATTTTATTTAATATTTTAGAACCT